CTACCTTTAATGTCGAAAGAAACAGAATTTGGTTTTCCAAATTATTTGCCTTTCAGTCAAAACTTAACACTTGAATACTTTCTATCTTCTATAACATTTGTTTTAAAGTTCAGAAAATTTAAATTTTGATATGCGTCTGTGTTTTTGCTTGTGTTGATGCATATTTTGCGTGTTTTCCGATTGTAGCATTTCAAGTATTCTTAGAAATGAAAATTCGGCTTGCACTATAACATTAATACACGATATGATAAAACGCTTCTAAATCAAACAATTTATTTGTCTTGACAGCAATTGAAATGAATCAAATCTTTCGAATGTTTACTTGTAAAATACCCCTTTTGGCGAATAGCCTTGAAGAATCACTGTATTGGACCTCCTAAGAGCTCTCAAAATACATGCTACGAAGAGGAGTAATCTAAATTTGCCCAGGTGCACGTTACAGGTGAAATAGCGTTACCTCCACAGGTACTCCTTAACGATCTTAAAAGAATAGACCAAGGGTATAATTTTTTTACGATTCTAAGTTCAAAAAGTTTCGAGGATTTGCAGAATGATCTCCTAAAAGTCAAAATTAGAAAAAAGGGGTGACTAAATTTATTTTTTCCTAGGTATCTTTTTAAAGTTTGAATAATAAAAATCATTTTCTTTTTTTATGAGTACCTAACGACCTCATATAAAATCATAGGCCATGGGTATTCCTGTTTTGCGATTATAAGTTCTAAATTTTCCAAAGACGTCTAGAAGTCAAAATTGGAAAAAAAGGGTCTGGCGCCGTATAAATATCCCTCAGAATGTCAAAGTTACAAACGCGGCACATCGCACACAAACAGACAATTAAAGAAGAATAACTGTAACCACCAAGTATCCATTATTTTATGAGCATGCAGAAAGTAAGCATAAACTTTGATATAAACTACAAGTATATAATTATATTTTTTCTAGGGGGGGGGGGGGGAGAGCAGTTATACATGTAATTTTATTGTCTTTAAACAGATATCAGTATTGTCGTTTCAAAGTCAATTTTGACAGCAGAAACCTGTGCATAAAAACTGTATTAAACAATAAATTGCGTGGATTTGACTTGGCTGAACTAGTCTGCTAAATAGCAATTATAATAAATGCAGAAAATTCTTTGTAAACCTCTTCACTGCAAGGAAGAAAACATTTTAAGGTAATTCCACCCTCCTATGATGCCATAGATTTTTGCAAAAACTGTAATTAGTTTCAATTCATACCTAATAGAACAATATCTTTTGGAAGAATGCTTTACAAATAAGTGTAATGATAAATATTGCTAAGTAAAAAATTTTTTAAAATACATATTTTCTTTATATAATCAATTATTCAACCTTTAAAAAATGTTGACAAGGGCAATAACTCCTTCTAAGGTCTCTTTATTCAGGCATTTGCTTTATTGTACTTCTAATGTAAAATAGTTTCCCTGATATTCACAAATCAAAAGTATTTTATAAGTAGGAAGTATTTAGGAACATTCAGCATTATAATTATGCATTTTAACCAGTTTTTACATATTTTTCATAATACCGTTTACAAAAAATGTGCGATTTTTTTTGTGTTGACATACACTTTTGTTTATTTTATGTTTCGCATCTTAAATAATACGGTGACCTTTACATTTTTTGCAATAATTGGAAAATTTAAAGTACATATATTAAATGATTATAAATGCAGTTTTTGTAATTTGAACCATTAAAATTGTGAGTGTGGAAACACCTTAAAACCTAATCTTTCAAAATGGGAAATAAAACTAGAGGGTCAACTTTGTATCTGTAAATTTCCGGAGAATATTGAATTATTATAAGAACTAGAAATATTTCAGTAGGTCATATTTAGATTAAAAATATCTTGAATGTTTCCTTTAAAACATATAAAGGCAAAGTACGACAGAAGGACATTTGGAGGGAAGACAGCTAAATATTATATTTCCCAGTTATGTTCATACGAGCGTAGATATCCCAGAAAAATTAATTCTGCTGCATAAGGTATATTTTCAATCAAAAGAATGCAAGATTTTTTAAAGGCATTTAAGTTCGAGTGTTTGTACATGTAACACATTTGTACGAAATGACTTAGGAATAATAGGAAGATATAATTCCTGTGTTTTGGATTAAAAAGTTAAATCGTACGATTAACGTCTTAGACCACAGATAAAGTCATTCATTGGTAATTCGAATTTTGAATAAAATTGAACAAGTTCATTCTAAAATGCGACAAATGGATGTGACTTTTGAATAAGAAGATTTATCAAAAATCTTTGATCGTAAAGGATTACCTATTTTATAAAAAAATTTTGACCAGAGGTGCGTCAAGTTGTTAAAAATATAAATGCTTAATAAATTAAAAATTAATAGTTTCTTAGTAAGATAAAAATGAAAATTTAATAATATTAAAAAGTGCAATAAAAGCTTTCAAATGATATATACTTTTAATGTTATCTTTGTTAATGAAAGAATTACAAGCAAGTAAAATTTTGCTTTTTGGAAACCTTTGGTGTATCCTTATATAACTTATATTGGCAAAGTCCATAGTTTGCTCTGTTATGTTATATCCCAGAAAAATTAAATCGGATTAAAAAGTAAAAAAAGAGGTTTAAAATTGCATTATGTAAAAAAAAATCTGTGAAAGTATCATTAAATTTTATTCACCTGAGGTATATGGCCGAAGCATTGGTCATCAGTATAAATGTATATTGGTAGCCCTTTGATTATTACTTAGAAAGAATGGCAGTGTCCTATTGGAAACCAAAAAATGTGTGTCCGATCAGAAAGTAAAATAAGAGTGCACAATGGGCTTTATGTAAAAAGATTCTGTAAAAGTTTCCTTAAATTTATTTCATTTATATATTATAGAAAGAATGGTATATAAATCAAAGATGGGTGTCCGATCAGAAAGTAAAATAGGAAGTGTACAATGACATTATGTAAAAATATTCTGTAAAAGTCTTATCTAATTTCATTCAGTGGTACATGTATATGAGGATTTGAGGATAAGAGATGGATACCCCTTAGCGTACAGAAGGACGGACATTACGATCACTATATAACCCCTGCTTTTAAAGCGGGGGCATAAAAAAAACTTTCTATTTGACTTCTTTAAGAATTGGCACTGAACTTAAAAATCAATTCAGAAGAAAATTGTTTGGAATGAAATTGATCTAGCAACGGAATAGTAAATTCTTGATTCCCTTTGTTAAGAAGCATGTATGCACAAGAAACGAAATATTCCTGCAGGCTTTAATGTTCGTTGTTTTGTCTCTCTTTTTCTGGAGAGTGCACTTCGGTCACAAGTGAATTTTGGATTTTATCTTTTATGTTAACTTTTTTTCATTAATGCCCTATACACGTTAAAAGAGTCTGATTACATAAAAGCCCAATGCCGTTTTTTTCTTATGGATTTTGTGTGCATTGACGTTCGCGTGGAAAAGAAATGCATCATTTTCCATCCAAAACTTTTATGCATAAATTTCCATAAATTCAGATTGAACACAAAAAATGAATATTTTTTTGTGTTTAGATGCACTAGCTGCACTGAAAGCCAGAATAAATTGTTCCCGAGAAAATGGCTACACACAAGTATTCAAAGAAAGACAACTCTTTTGCACGATACAAAAAACTCAATAATTTTTGTTTTAATTTCCACTTTTTATCTATCAATGTTATCGCGATAGCTATTTTTACATAGCATTTTATACTGAGCAATCTGTCAACATTCCATACAAAGTCCCCGAGAAGGATCCAAAGAATATTTTGGCCAAACACCATAAAAAATCAGGACCTTCTCAACAGGTGCCAGCAAGAGGACTTGGCCACATCATCATCATCATCATCAGACGCTGGAACTGGCTAGGCCATGTACTTAGAAGGGACTCGGACAGGATCATAAAGACAGTTTTCTTCTGGACACCAGAGAGAAAATGAGAGAGGGGAAGAACCAAAGTCATTTGATGGAGGCCGAAATTAGAGAAGCTGGGGCACAGTCCAAAAGCTATATAGCCAGTGACAGACAAGGTTGGAGAACCCTGGTTACTGCCCTATACACCAAGGAGACGTCACAGACAGTACGTAAGGAATTCCTAGAATCTAAAGCAGGTTTGACACAGCACATCTAAAGAAGCAAAGTCCGTACAAGGGACTCTAGAATCTAAAGCAGGTTTGACATTAAATCAGGCCGTACAAGTTTGCTCTAAACAAGACTTGAAGATGCACTAACTATAAAACAATGAAAAGAACCTGTTTTTCACATGTTGTTCTACGTAAGAAAGATGTATGTCCTTATACCATGATCAGTGGTTGATTTCTACAAACATCTACACTTAAAAAACTGGTGTGGTGTGTTATTGTCAGCAGCTTATATACAAAATAAATAAAGTCCTTATTTTAGAATTTTAAATGCAGATTAACTGTATTTATCACAACATTTCATGATCATGATGAATTCACATACTCAAGAACACATGTATTATACGCTCTAGCTTGGAAAGAACAAAATATATGTCTATGTAAAGGTATAATCTATTGTCTAACACTATATAATAAAACAAGCATGCAATATAGAATTTCAGTTTTGTCATAATATCATTGAGAGTCACAAGTAGTTGTGACTAAATATTATACTTGAGTGTAATTAAGAAATGAATTTAATTTTTGAATTTGATTATGCAGATTAATATTTCATGAAGCGCTTTAGTGCTTCATTTCATGATCATGAAGCGTTGTAGTTCATATACCTCATGAATCTTCAAAAAATATTCTCTTATATTTACATTATTTTTCATGATTTACCATAAATTTACGCCGTTCAACTGTCATTTTTAAAACAAAACAGTGTGCACTATATTTTTTGAATTTTTGACGTCAATATAAAAATCATGACGTAACAATGGAGATATTCATGCTTATTGTGATACATACCTAATGTAGTTCATGAGAAAATATACTGCATTTTATTTTGTAAAGAATCATAGGGGAAATTTATTGGAAATGTAAATATTAGGTATTAACTAATTTCAAACCTTCTCTTAATGCACAAGGTATTAAATTCTATCTCTTTCATTGTTCCATACCAAATAAAAGAGAAAGAAATTTTACAAAAGTTCATGATAAAATGCAAATACAGGAAAACCGAATTTAAAAAAAAATCACTTTTTAAGGAATCTCTGTTAAACAAAAAATCTTTAACGAATCCTGAATGACTTCTAACTATGCTTCTTGTAGAAACTGAAAGAATCTTCTTTACAGGAAAGCAAAATTTGAGGTTCTAGTGACATCTCTTTAAATGGCGTTTTTTCTGTAAAAAGGAAACAAACTTATACAAATATATCATTTTCTTAATATCTTGACATTGTTTGCATGTTCTGGATATCACAAAAATAGAGTAAAATTTTAAAATGTTACATATATATTATATAAAAACAGAATTGTTCCCATAAAATTGTTTATGATGTTAAACAAAGTTATGCATTTTTTTAGTTTGACAAATTTAAATATTCCACTAGATAACAATAATGCAAAATACCAGAAATAGTATCATTTCTGTAAAACTTCATAACAATAGTTTATATAATATCATAACATTACATAATAAAGTACATGTAAAAACAAATGTCATGTTTATTTCAATCAATTTTTAAGAAAGCACCAATATGAATGATATGGATTTTTACATTTACATCATAAAAATTATACAGTTAGTTGACCATGGATTTCAACAATTTTTTTTATTCAAAAAGTACTCCATACGATACTTGTTCCTAGGCCATAACATTTTCCCTAAACGTTTTCCAAGTTTAAAATTTGATTACTTAATATATTAATATATTAAGAATAAAAGCAGAAGCTATATCAAGAATTATATGTTTTAAATAATTCATTTTTTTCATCTACGTTTATGACAATTTTTCTTTAAAAAATAATTTTTAATATTCAAACTTTTTTTTTATCTAAGTTTATGACAATTTTTCTTTAAAAAATAATTTTTAATGTTAAAACTTTAAAAGGATACCTGGGAAATAAACAAAATTAGACACACAGTTGATGAATTGAATTGATATGCATATGTTCATAATGCTAAAACAGAAATGGAATTAAAGCTTTTCTGTTCGGTGGATAGGACTCAAACTGTGACTTGTACCTATAATAAATGAAAAAAATAGTTTATTCATAGATGAAAATTATAGTGCATACAGAAAAAAGTAATTTATTATCACATGTATCAAAAGTTATAGAAAAAAGTGTATTTGTTATTATCCAAATTTTATAAATGGACAATATGTGTTTCATCTGAAGCTTCCTCACCACACATGATTATGTCTAGCTCTGGGGACAAAAGTTGCTGCAGCAAAAAGGGTCCACACAAGGCCAGCCGCTGACCACGTAGCAATTGTCCTACAAAACATATATTTGTATATATTAAACACACTAACAGGGTAAGGCATCAGTATACAAATGAATGTAAACATGTTGCAAGGAAAAGATGTTAAAATTGTATGATATCCAATGTAATCATTTATCTAAATTGAATAGCTACAATCTATGAAATTTTGATACTTTTTTAAATATAATTTTTAAAAACATCCTACTTTTTTTTCAAGCTAGATATTTTTTGGAATATGTTTTAGTAAACCTTATGATTAAATACCTTGATAGATTTTCAAGTTTAAAACTTAAAAAAAATTATGAAGGAATTTTAGTTACCATCCAATCCATTCTACCAGTTCACCAAAGTAGTTTGGACACGTGACTAACTCAAAGAGGCCTCCGAAGGGTATATAGTAACCAGTACATCCTGTCAAAAAATATGTTATGCTAACAATTGCAAAGATAAGTACTGCATACAAAAATTTCTTTTTTACAAAAGCACAGAGAGAGAAAGAGAAAAATAATTGCAAAACAAATGCAAATGGCATGATTCTCTCAAATAAAACCTATCATGATACATACATGTAATAGATACAGATTCACAGAGACATGCATTGAAAACCATCTCATATACATGACACTTTAATGTATTCTTCATTGCACATGGAAAGCTAAAATAACTATGAAGTCAATGCATATTTTTTTGGAACCCAAGGATGTAATTTTTCGAAGATAATAAGATAATGATGTATTGAAGTAAGTGATATTAATAGTCAATATTTATATATTCAGTCAATAAAACGGCTTAATTTTAAAATAATACATTAAGTAATAGATTAGTTTAATTAATATATGAAGTTAAAAAGAATATGGTCGAACATTTTTTTTTTCAACTATTCAGTACTTTCTGAGTTTCAACCTCAAAATGCATTTCATAGAAAACATTGAAATATTTGTTGTAATTAAGGATAAAGACAGGATTTTTCCTTGTTAGTGTTGGTCGGAAAATCACTTCTACTAATATTTCTTACCAGGCTTCTCGTTACTATTTTCTTCTTGACTAAGACTTAAAGCACCGTAATTGCCTGCCTTTTGGTTTTGATCATTTGAAGAATCTATTAAAATTTCGAAACATTATCATACTATCACTATTTTGTTTAAGAAAGAGCTACATTAATTTAGCGTTGGGGTTACGATATATAGTGACAACCGTGACATACAAAGATGCCATGCAGTAGGAATTGCAATAGAACGGTCAAAAGAATTAACTGAAAAATGACTTAAACACAAATGAAATCCAGGATTAACTTAAATATTTTAGCCACTGAATAAGGGCTTTTATTGATTGAAACGTATGGTTATTGTACATACAATATGTCAAAATAATGCAAATATACATGATCTCAATTTTATTCTCATTTTAATTGAAACTTATTTCATACAAATTTTTTTTCTATCTGAATAGAGGTTTGCATTTATCAGGATTGCTGCACAGATTTTACGAGCATTGGTCATCAATGTATCATTTACCAAGAACAAAATGATAAAATATCTGCATATGAGATTCAACACCAAATTATGTTCTAAATGAGCTTCGATCATGCTTCTTGAAAAATGAGGTTACCAATTTAATTACACTCACTAACTTTCATTAATCACGATCATTAAAATGTAAACCAAAAAATAAACACATTCATGCAGGGATATACATTCCTAAATAAAAAGGCAGTAAGCATTGACTTAATAAAAAGCTTTGAAGAAAAATGAATTATTAAGATACCTTTTGTTTCCCGTAAAGAACGTAATTTTAGATCCGCCCATCTGTTGATGATATAACCAGCAATGAAAATAATAATACCAAGTATGAAACGAGGGTCACTAGGGAAAAAAAGGGAAAATAATATTGATAACCAGTATTTACTTGTTTGTTTCTAACAGATTGATAAACAGTAATATATCAGTAATCATCATCTAATGTTACAGTAACAAAAATTTAGTCATCAGTAACTTTGAAAAAGTTACTCATATGTAAATTAACAAAAAAGTTACTCATATTCAGATCAACAAAAAAGTTACTCTTATTTAAATTAACAAAAAAAAAAGTTACTCATTAGTAAATTAACAAACAGTTACTCATTAGTAAATTAACAGTTAGTTACTTATAAGAAAGTTTACAGTTACTTACTAGTAATAATTTGTGTAGAACTTTGCTGATCCTATGAAGTCAGCATTTATAAAATGATAAAGGCAGTTTGGAAAAAAGCCACCGAGCGTTATGCTAGAAATACAATGTAAAAATATCAGAAAATGCCCCGATTCTTTTTCTTTGAAAATAGTAGGTTTACATGTACAACTGCTGAATTCCTCTTCAAATTTTTTATGAGAACTTCAAAAGTACAACAATTTTGTGGAACATATATGATTTGACATGGGTTAAAATATACCACTTTTTTTTATTTTCCCACCTTTTTCCTTTTGCAAAGAAAATATGACAAAAAAACAACAAGTATTGTATATTCAAATCAAATACATACAAATGAAAAAAAAATCACATTTTGGAATAAATAGTTTCATACTTACCCCAAAGCTACCTTGGAATTCCTATATCTCATCACAAGAGGGTGTATTATACCTCTGAAAAAAAATTCATAAATATGGTTGATAGTTTTTTTCTGTTTCTTCAAGTACTGGGTATTTATATATATTTTGGGAAAATGAAAATAAAATTGGAGAGAACGGTGGTCTATGTAAACAATTCAACGGTATGCATTAGATGCTGGCAGGAAAAAGGTTTCTCATTGCTCATTGGCCCTGACTGCTGATTATAGAACAAAATTTGTAGCTCTCCACTGGCAAGTGTTGGCGTCTCCATATGAGTTAAAAAATTCTCAAGAGGGACCTCAAACAATATACAATCAATCAATCTTTCTTCACAAACAGGATTTATGAGGAGAGTAGAAGATCAGAAAAGTTTGGTTAGGGAAAACGACAGAAGTTGAAATCATGGACAATTTCTCAATTTCTAAACCTGAAGACACAATTTATTTCATATTTTGAGCAATAAAACATCGATTGTAATTTCTTACAGACATTTACTTCACCATGTCATTTTTTAACGATTTTCCTATTCCAAAACTCATGCAGGTTTATGGGGAAGGTATCGAGCCAAAAATCCGTAACTGGCAAAGATGATAGAGCCCTTGTAAACAGAAAGATTGACCAATGGTTTATGTAGCATTAAAAGTTCACGAATTTTCAAAAATTACGAAATATGTCCATTCAGTAATTTGAAAGTGACGAAACAAAAAAATCCCGAATGAAAATTTTCGCTATACTTTCTTCTGCCATTTTAGTTGAAGTTTCAGTCAGAGGTCATAATGAACTTGTTTTAAAAGTCACTTTATGTACGTGCATGTACAATTTCATTGACATTTTTCATAAATATTTCACACAGAATTGTCTTCAACTTTTAGGATTACTTAAACTTGACATGCATCAGAAGTTAAAAGGTGGGTGTGCACAGTCGATAGCGGAATGTTCACTCCTCCATGGCATCTGATCCTATCTCTGATGTTTTACAGGTCCGAATTTTCTCTAGACTTGCTCCCATTTGGTCTTGATGTAATGGACTCATTTATTGTTCATTATCTTCATATATGCATTTCTTCATACATTGAGAATTTTATTTAGCTTACCTCGCCATATTTGCAATTTTTTTTCTTTCTATGTCAACACATTTGAGGTTGCCCTATTACACGGAGGTCAGATCAAAACATAACCCCTATCATTCCCTTATCTTCCGCAGACAACATAAAAATTTCGTTGTTAAATTAATAAGATCATGCATACACCATAAAACAAAAGCAGATATTTTATTATCATTACCATGATAGATTGTTGCGGAATATAAAAGCTAGCCTAAGACTTGCTTTTAATCAGCCATTATTATTATAAAACCTTTGATTTCTAGTTTAGTAGTTCCAACATATTACGTACATTAATACAAATCCGTATATTTCATTAATTAGGTAAAAAAACATATGGCTGCTCAGGCAGATTGCCGTTTTCTTATTAAATAAAATAAGATCAAAAGACGTCATCAAGATGAATTCCTGTAATGCGCTACGCAAGGTTTTTTTCCTCTCAGCAGAGTTCACATAGGCTTACCTGTATATACCTTTATCATTAACACCCAACACGTTATTATAATGTGTGCTGAGCAACTGTACCTATTTGGATGTTTTAGGAAACAGGGCTCATATCATGTGAAACTGGTCTCCAAGATAATAAACTGAGAACAAACTTAATTAAGTCAAAATTTATTTCTTTTTAAAGAAGTTGTGATATACTCATGATAATGAAACAAAACTTTCTAAATGTGGATAAATTTGTACATCATATCCAAACATCCAAGTTTCGACATTGGACATTGACATTACACTAGTCTGAGGGGGTCTTGTTTGAAATATTTCTTATAAAGCGGGCCCTTCTACAATAGTAAGTATAAACCAGAAACATAATATTTCAAACACTTTAACCCATTTACTGCAAATAATTTATATATATATAGATAGATATAAACAATTAAAAACATATCTCTGTCATTGTAATTGTTTATCATGTTTATGCAGACAGTTGCAATCTTTCCAGAGAAATTTTTAAAATCTGCATAAGCAACAAGACAAAACCCTCAATGAAACATATGGAGATAACGAACAGTAATAATTCAAGCTCAAAAGTCCATGAAAACATTACAAACTAGGAGCAGAGCAAACACAGACCTCAACAAGAGGCCCATGGGCCACATCGCTCACCTGAGCACTGTGGCTATGAAAAGTAGAAATTGGTTTAATATTGAAAAGTTTCAATCCAAAAGTAGTCCCATGACCAATCATGGATTTGCTATTCTTGAGAAGATGATTTTTGAAGAATTTTCCTATATATTTCTATGTAAAACTTTGTTCGGCCATTTTGGCCCTGCCCACCCCCGGGGGTCATGATTTGAACAAACTTGAATCTACAATACCTGAGGATGCTTCCATATAAACATGATGAATGATGGCTTTGTCATTATTGAGAAGAAGATTTTTAAAGAATTTTCCTATATATTTCTATGTAAAACTTTGTTCGGCCATTGTGGCCCCGCCCTACCCCCAGGGGTAATGAATTTTCTAATTGAAATTCTTCATTACCCCAAAATACTTCCATATAAATATGATGAATGATGGCTTTGTCATTCTTGAGAAGAAGGTTTTTAAAGAATTTTCCTATATATTTCTATGTAAAACTTTGGTCGGCCATTTTGGCCCCGCCCTATCCCCAGGGGTCATGATTTGAACAAATTTGAATCTACATTACTTGGGGATGCTTCCATATAAATATGATGAAATATGGCTTTGTCATTCTTGAGAAGAAGATTTTTTTAGAATTTTCCTATATATTTCTATGTAAAACTTTGGTCGGCCATTTTGGCCCCGCCTTACCCCCAGGGGTCATGATTTGAAGAAACTTGAATCTACACTACCTGGAGATGCTTCCATATAAATATGATGAATTATGGCTGTGTCATTCTTGACAAGGAGATTTTTTTTTAGAATTTTCCTATATATTTCTATGTAAAACTTTTGCTTGGCCATTTGGCCCCGCCCTACCCCCGGGGGTCATGATTTGAACAAACTTGAATCTACACTACCTGAGGATGCTTCCATATAAATATGATGAATGATGGCTTTGTTATTCTTGAGAAGAAGATTTTTAAAGAATTTTCCTATATATTCCTATGTAAAACTTTGTTTGGCCATTTTAGCCCCGCCCTACCCCCGGGGGTCATGATTTGAACAAATTTGAATCTACATTACCTGGGGATGCTTCCATATAAATATGATGAAATATGGCTTTGTCGTTCTTGAGAAAAAGATTTTTTAAGAATTTTCCTATTTATTTCTATGTAAAATTTTGGTCGGCCATTTTGGCCCCGCCTTACCCCCGGGGGTCATGATTTGAAGAAACTTGAATCTACACTACCCGGGGATGCTTCCATATAAATATGATCAATTATGGCTTTGTCATTCTTGACAAGAATTTTTAAGAATTTTCCTATATATTTCTATGTAAAACTTTGGTTGGCCATTTTGGCCCCGCCCTATCCCCGGGGGTCATGATTTGAACAAACTTGAATCTACACTACCCCAGGATGCTTCCACATAAGTTTCAGCTTTCCTGGCACAGTGGTTCTTGAGAAGATTTTTAAAGTATACCATCAAATTTTCATTAATTCCCAATTATCTCCCCTTGAATGAGGACTTGGCCCTTCATTTGAACAAACTTGAATCCCCTTCACCCAAGGATGCTTTGTGGCAAGTTTGGTCAAAATTGGCCCAGCGGTTCTTGAGAAGAAGTCGAAAATGTGAAAAGTTTACAGACAGACAGACAGACGGACAGACGGACGCCGGACAAAATGTGATCAGAAAAGCTCACTTGAGCCTTCGGCTCAGGTGAGCTAAAAACATCAGAGGTGGGATCAGGTACCATGGAGGAGTGAGCTTCCCCTGCCAACCAATCACATCCCCATGTGCTCTTTTCATGATTGGTAAATAACGGAAAAATCATTTGTTAGTTCAATGTATAAATAATGGACTAACAATTAGTATGAAAAACGTCAGTCAGCATTTGACTCAATGATAAATTGAATTTGCTGACAAGGATCAGGTGCCATGGAGGAGTGAGCATCCCACTGGATCAGTGAGACAGACCCTTAGCAGAACAGCCTTATCTCTGTATACAGGGGAAAGCTCTTACCTGTGTATGTAGTGAGACAAAAACATGGCTAGGAATACATAGTTGACGTAGGTTTTATCATCAGTTCCATAAAATACAAACACCTGAAAATTGACACAGGAGTATTTTTAACAAGAGATACATTTTACACGCACTTCATTATTATTATACATTTATATATTTTATTCACAAAATAGTTCAGTAATAATAAACCTCAGTATGATAAATTCCCAGATGTCACAAAGTTTATTTCAGAACCATTGAGGTCAAAAGAACAAGGTTTGACTGTATCAGATTTCTGGACTTTTTAAAAAAAAAAAAATTTTAAGGCCATGAAAAATTAATAATTTGGTTCTCAGGCCCTCTCTCATCTCTTCCGAGGGTGCCTCATTGACCCTTTTTATCGCTACATGTAAATAAATAAAAAAAAAAAGACAACAAATCACCTCCCTCATCATTTTTCGAAGGTTTGTACAATACAAATAGCTGCCTCATGTTTTTGTGGAAATAAAAAAGAAAAAAAAAAGCCTACCTCCCTCATTATATTTCTTGAAAAAAGCTTGAGAACCAATGAATTAACTTTGCTTGGCCTAACCTAGTATTTTTTCTTTCTTACCAGTGTAAACAGCACAACCCCGGGTATAGCATCTGAGAGAATGTGCCCCAGTCTCTGAGGGATCAGGGGGCCCCAGTTCTGATCCTATAGCAAAGTATTGACAAAAATATTTATCTGTCCTTCATTTTCCAATGTTAACTTTACTTCTGATTTCATAATTTGTAATCACTTCAGTGCTAATAGTAAAAACATGTGCATGTACAAAAGAATTGTTCTGTGACTATGATATTATAATTTAATTATCATTTTTGCTTGTATACATTTAAACTTTTGCTATTACCTTCTATTTGATTTTTATTGCCTTCAATAGGCAATAAAGAGGAAAAAGAGCAAGTCTATGAAGTCATAAAACTGATGACTTAAAATGTTAAAAAAGCTGCAGTACAGTTGAGCTTTGATATCCTGAATACTGATTTTTCAAATACCATTGAAATGTCAAAGTGCTTTGGATTTCCCTAATACTAATTCTTTCAGTATTTTAAACTGTATATATATTAAATCTTCTGATAAAAAAAATTCAATACCATTGTGTTGGAGATATCAAGTTTTTACTGTATTTCATTTTTGATTTCAAGATTTCAGAAAATTCTTACCCTCCGCTCGTGTTTTCCGTAGGGGGCGGGGTTCACCCACTGGGCTACTGCTGTAACAATGGCTAGGACGGCACCAAGAATAACCAGGCCATAGTGAACCCAAAACCTGGTGTTGTTGGTATCATAAAGTGTGTATGGATGAACTGTAAAAGAGAAAAATCAATGCTTAAAATACAGAATTTAAGATGAATTTGCAATTTATTGTCTATTAAAAAGAGCATTCTGAGAAAATTTGTTTCCTATTATTAAATAGCATCTGCGACTGAGTGTGTTATGTAAACAATTCTAGTCCTCTTCTGGCAAAGGCAATCTTGTTTCCCCTTTAAACATGTCAAATACTGAAAAGGTTTAAATTTCATCAAAAAATTCATTTAAGAAAAGTGAAAGTCGCCCAGCAGTGGTTAGAGAGTCTGCTCTATAGTTGCGAAGTAAGGGGTTGATCCTTACATTGTGGGTCAGAATCCCACTGTGGGATGTGGAGACTTGTCCTTCAGATGTGACCGTGTAAACCTAGGTCTCTGGTCCCATGTCACAGAAGGTGCTGGCATGAAAAAGATACCTTCCTGCTCCATGGCCCCGAGTACCAAGTTTAGGTCAAAATTGTAGTTCTCCACCGGCAAGTGGTGGCATCTCCATACGAGTGAACAATTCTCAAGAGGGACGTTAAACAAAATAGAGACAAGAAAGGTGAAATGTAAAGTTGATCTGTAAGTAAGCAAGGTATATTGGTATACCAACTACAAATAATCTGCATTTTGGTAAGTGTCTTTAGAGAAGTGGACAGATTATGCCTACATCCACCTGGGTATGAGTGAAACTTGCTGCTTTTCCATTTCTCCAAAGAGAATTCATGTTGGTAATAATATCTGTTCTGATGAATCTGGTCACCCAGTTTAACATGTTTAAGTTGTTTTCTTAGGACAGGGCAGAGTGACTTGACGTATTTAATGATACGTGGCCAGGAAATAGAGGTGAATGAGTCCTCATTGTGGACAGATTGACAGTATAATCAGATTACAGAATGTACAAGGATGTTTATCTCGAGTCAACTGGGAAGTCGTTCCAGATTAAACAATATCTGAGAATCTTTTAATGTTTTCAAATCTTACTTCTATTCTATACTTAAAGCTAACACTCATGAAAGTTTGTTTACATTATATTAGTTTTACAAAATTAGATTTTCAAGGACTTATAACATAGGCACTCCCAATCTTACTTGTTAAAAAAATAAAAAACAGATAATATATTTTAAACTAAGTTTATAAATCTATAGAAGGCCTATGGGAGGTGTATATTTTTTAACAATTAAAGATCGGGAGTGTCTATGATTTATAACACTGAGTAAATCTTGCACGTACAAGATTTTTACAACAAATGTAACCGATTGTGTTACTGTCAGATTGTGTCACGTGCGAGTGCAACTGATTTATGTAAACAATGGAATTTTTCATATAAAAAAAATTAATGGACTTACATTGGAGTGACATAATTCTTTATTAACTCAATCCCCCTTGGACAGTTTCATCAAAAATATTTCAATAGCCAGCGGCAACCTACAGGACAGCGCTGTCAAACATTGAAACCAACATTAAATTTTAGTTTTACTTTGGTGGCAGAATAAAAAAGTACCGGTCAAAAAATAGAAAAAATAGAGAAACCTGAGGTTTGATTGCATATTATAGGTAATTTTATAGCTAGAATATTTTATGGGTGCATTTGGAGGGACTTGGTGGCCTTGTATATTTTATTGAAATATGACACTTTAGTGTCACTACTACTGTATATGGGATATGGACTAGAAATACAAACTGGAAATTTTACCGGTATTTCACCAGAAAAAGGATGAATTGTAGCTTGAAAACGAGGTGGTTGAGCCATTATCTCTTGCTGTTCATTGGTATGTACAAATGTTATTCTGCAATTTGTGTGGTAGCTCAGGTCAGGCGCACGGGCCTGGAAGCAGTTTCGGCTGCGGCGAAATAGTGAAAATAGGCTTGATTCACATGAAATTTTGAGATTGTCCCTGCGCCATCTTTAGGGCTCATTGTGTAAGTTGTACATGTTTTATTCCTAAAACCTTCAAATTTCTTAAGGGACTACATCATACTATTATTACATGTAGAAAAAAATTTTTCAATGCACATTTTTAAAGCAGCTCAATATTAAGTAAACCGTCAGTCAAACGTTTTGATTGCAAAAAAAACTATCCTCTGCCACCTTTCACTTTCATGTTTATATTAAGTCGATAACATATCGTACCAAAAATGATTCGTAATTAACCGTTTTAAAAAAAGCGCAAAAAGTAAGGGTAGAGGCAGTCTGTGTTGTGTATCAATTTTTTTTTATGTTAAAGATTTTCTGTTCTTTATTTTGAGTTTGAATATATGTTGGCTCCATCTTTTGTAAGACTGTAGCTATGACGGTTAAAAAAAATGGGGGGGGGGGGGGTACTGACGGGTGCCGGTGGGAGTTTAACAACACACTTTTTTTCAAGCTCCAGACAGCTAAGTATCATGTTACGCTACAGCTCCATATCATCGCTGCTTTTTTGACATGACCCCGTTGAACCGTCTTTCTGGTCAAAATTTAAGTAGAGCTCAAGACTATTGTGAACTTTCGAGCACACGGAACGTGTTCGCTGGACAGGGGGTGCTTCCTTCTCCTTGCCACCTAATTCTATCCCTGGAATCTCCCTGGGCCCGTGTTTTATGCCTTGTTTACACATTTGCATTGTTCCAATCTAATTAAAATTAGATCTTTGATCCGCTCCAGCGATCAAACTGGAGCGGATCAAAGATCTACATGTAATTTTAATTAGATTAGCATTGTTCATATTATTTTAGATCGATCACTGTTTTGTTTTTATTTCAAACACACACCATCTCTCTCTTTTATAATTATTGTTTCGCATTCAGTTTTAAGGCGGGAAGTTCTAGGTTACCGTGTACGATCCACTACTCTATCGTTATCTAACATTAATTAATAATCTAGTTCGTTTCAATATGTCCGTGTGAAACTTTGGGATATACATCTCAGTCTTATCCGCAACTCTTCTATACAACTGAATAAAATTATATGAAACCTTAAGAGTCATTACATGTGTATATATGCGCCTTTTTTCGAATCTATGGGAAAACAAAAACCTTGTCATTACCGGGGGTATGTCATTATTGTGAGTTCAGTGTTCACAGTACCTATTTTTTAGGTCACCTGAGTAAACTCAGGCGACCTATTGCTATCTGTTTCAGTGGCGTAGCATCGTTTTTGAAAGTGGGGGGGCCAGCCAGAGGAAATTTTTTTTTTTTTACGGAGCGAAAAAAAAAAAAAAAAAAAAAAAAAAAGGAAAAGTTGACCAAAGAAAATGTCATAATTGTGAGTTCAAAGTTCACAGTACCTTATTTTTAGGTCACCTGGTGACCTATTGCTATCTGTTTTCGTCCGTCGTCTTGAATCGTTGCGACCTGCGTTAATATTTGAATATATATTTTCAGCTTCTTCTCTGCAACCACTCAACCAATTTTGGCATATAAAGCATCTATGGGTGCAGGGGGACAAAAATTTTGAATTTCATGGTCTGTTCCTCCCTGGGGCTTGAGGGGTGTTTCCAAAACCACTAAAATTAATGCAATCTTTAAAAATCTTCTTCTATACTCCTGGACATCAAGCAGTCAAACTGTTGGCATGATTGTAATTAGTATTGAGTCTTCTACCAAAATTGTGAAATTCATGGCCTCAGGGTCTGGGGTTCTAGTGCTAGGGCGGGGCTAAATAGATTATATAGTGAAAATACATTATAAGTATGAAAATCTTCTTCTCTGCTCCTGGGAATAAAATTACATGTAGCTAACCAAATATATAATTATGCTGAATAAGGCTGCATGCCTCTTCCAAAATTGTGAATTCATGGCCCCTCGGCCAGGGGTGCTGGTATTAGGGCGGGGTTCTATTGATTACATAGTGAAAATACATTAATTCTTTGATAATCTTCTCTGCTCCTGGGTATAAAACACACTAAGTACATAATTATAATAAACGAGAAGGCCTCTTCCAAAATTGTGAATTTGATGGCCCAACAGCAAGGGTCAGGTATTCTGAGGTTAGACCGGAGCTCTACTGATTATATTATTAATTCTTAAAATCTTCTTCTCTGCTCCTGGGTATTATATAAACTAACCATTAAATACATGGTTATGTTGAATAAGGCTGCCACTTCCAAAATTGTGAATTTCATGGCCCCAGGGTCAGGGGTTCTGGTATTAGGGTTGGGCTTTATTAATTATATAGTGAAATGCATAAATTCTTTAAAAATCTTCTCCTCTGCTCCTGGATATTAAAACAATGCACTATGTACATAGTTATGATGAGAAAGGATGCTTCTTCCCAGTTTGTGAATTTCATGGCCCCTGGGTCAGGGGTTCTTGTGTCAGCTAGGGCAGGGTTCTAATGATTTTTTTTGTTGTTGTGAAAATGCATGAATTCTTTGGAAATCTTTTCTTTTGCTCCTGGGTATTATGCCAATGATCTAAGTACATATTTATGATGATTTCAGGGTCCCTGGGTCAGGGGTACAGCGGGCGGGTGGGGGATACATAGTCTGAAAAAAAATAATGCTTTGAAATTTGCTTTGGTATTAATCAACCATTTATGTTGAAATAAAAGTTATGATAAAAATTTCCAAAATTTTGAAATATGTGGCCCAGGGTCAGTGGTTCCTGTGGATTGGGGTGCATTACTGGTTATACAGTGGAAATGCATTTTCTCTTTGTTACTTTGATCTACCTCTGGGTATTAAGTAACCAAAGTAAGCATGCTAAGTGTATAGGTATGATAAACAATTGTACCTCTTTCAAAATTGTGAATTTCATGGCTTTTGGTTTAAAACACGAACCAAATTTAATTGTTGGATAGTTGTTACATGAAACGCATGTGACTTATAAGGCCCGTGGGCCTCTTTTTTTATTTTAAAATGTTCATGCAGGCACAATTCATAAATTATATTTATTTTTTAAAGTATGGCACTGCCTCCAAAGCTCCTTTTACTAATTCCTTACATTTCAAGTTCTGGGCAAGAAATGAAAAATGTAAAATGTATAAAATGAAGCACATTGTATGAATGAAAGTCATAGTATAAGTCCGTGTTATAAACGTCTGGCAGGATTCTAAAAGTCTAATTGATATATAACACTCACGGTTTCCTGTGGAACTAAAACGCAGATATTTTCACCGGGGGAAAATACTGCATCGATATCTTCGTTCTCTATACAGAACATCCGCGCATTGGATGGTTTTCCGTATTTATCCCCTGAGACCCAAAATGCATTATTTCCTATCAAACGCCCTAAATAATTAATCAACGATACAGGAATTGTCACAGAAAGTCTAATAATATCTGGAGACACGCCGTGAATTAATTTGCCTTTCACTGAGTCGGGAAACATCGTGAACTTTTTCCCTGAATCTGAGTTCATGTGCGTATTTCGTTTACATTCGGATTTATTTTTCGTGCGTGTTTACATTTTTCTTCTTGTAACATTAAGGTGGGCGGGAGACATTTGTTTGATTTGTTTTTACCTGTTGGAATGAATAATAATGTGACAAAAAAAAATCATCCAATGAAAATTGAGGAGATTTTCGCCAGTTGGAGGCCATCTTAAATTGTCTATTCCCGTGATATTCTGTATATTATTGTGAATTTTCTCGTTCTAAAGGTAAGTCCGTTTACTTATTATCTTTCTCAAAATCAAGAAATATGCCATAGAATTTTAAAAATTTATTATTCATTTAATCAAATAAAAAAAATATTGGAAAAGTTTATCTCTGAGTTTAAGCACTTAGTGTTTGCTTTCCATTTGTATACTTTGAAATAAAATTCAAGTTCCGACAAGCTTTTTGTTTTGCATTTTCAACATTTTATATACAGGCACAAAATTTTACAAAGGAATTTGTCGGATTTTTGCACTTACGATGCTGCGTTAACCCTTGAAATAGTGACACAATTTTAAGCAAGTTAATTCATAAGAAATACAAAAATACACTATAACAAGTGAACTTCCCTAAATAATGTTGTCACTGACATCGGAAATTCCCAATTGACTTTTTCCGCTATGTGTTAATTTACAGTTGATCTACATCTAAACTCACGTAGAATTTAGGTACTACATGTAAATAATGAGTAATTACTTAGATATGCTTGATTTACCGATATCTTATTCTTCGGGCAAAAATTCGATAATATGTTAGATATGGACCACACATAGTTAACGGGAATGCAGTAATTCTATATCGCACCCATTAGCGACCTGGATAAAACATGGGAAATCATTCAAACGAAGGACAATATTTGAGCATCATCATTAAACAAAGCAGTATTGAATGCTCATTGTCAGCGTTCGTGCATGTTTCTATCAATCTGTATTTTAATTTTAGGGTAACTATTTAACAACACGTGTGAATGTGTGATATCTTCCTACTCCTATTTGAAGTAATTGATTTATTAACTTTTTTATTATGTAATATCAGACATTTAGAATAAATACAATGACATAATTTAGCATCATGCCGATTCTTTTACCAGTTTCGAAAAAAAATGGTTTCCCCCCCCTTTTCATTAATTTTCTTTTTTTCGAATTCTATTTTTATTGCTAAATTTGTCAGGAATGAAATTAAACGTTACTAAAAATTAAAATCAAGTTAATTATGCCAAAAGCATGCAAATATTTCACTTCGTGTAATATCCTTGTAAATTTCGACGTAAAATAGAACTCACGCATCCTGCAACATTGAAACAAATGCAGGCTTCTGATGCTTGATCATATCTAAAGAATTTACGAGAAATATTTCTATCTTCAAACTTGTAAAATCCTTGTTTTAAAAACATTTCCCACCTGACGTTTGCCTTTCCGTCGGTTAAAAGTGCCGCTATATCAAATGCTCAACATGCTCATAATCTCAAAACCCCCGCCGCACTCTTATCTAAGGAGAACGCGCGTGCAGGCTTCTGTGTGCCTCGGGATCTTGCGCGTGAGGCGGATGACTGACACGCGTTTGAAACGAGCCACAGATAAAGTATAAAAGAGATAAAAAGCACTTTGAAGCACTTAAAACTTCAGCGATATTGTTTGGCTTTAAGGCTTTTTACCTGAGTGCGGAAATTGTAAAGTTATGAAAAGCTCATCCAAAAAATCGAAAATATTTTTCCAGAGTGTTGGAAAATGTGTAAACATCAGTTGTTGGAGCCATTTATAACACGGTGTGATCATAAGAAAATCAAAACAAGTTTACCTCTGTTCAATGTGACTAATTAATAAGAAATATGACATATTTCTATTAGCTTGAAAGGTGTTCGACACCTGTGAAACGGAAAGTATGATGTTACATTATTATTATAAATTTCATGTTATGCATGTATCGCGCGGGTATGTTCAGAAAAACGATAAGCTATTTTGCTTAAACATGGAAGTGTTACATTTTTAAATACTTGAGGAAATATTTTGGTACATTGCTTTCCTGATCATGCAAAGCATGAATATATGTTGAATTTACATCTACACTTTATATTAGTGAGAGAATTATGATTAGTGAGAGAATTATGCCCAAATATAATCCTTAATTGGACTTTGCCAGGTGTTTAATCAGGTAATATGTGTGATATCCATGGAAAACACCCAGATATCGGAAATTACAGAACAAGCATACAATATATAATGCATGTACGTAAATAAAAGTTATATCACACGCCGCGCACGACATTATATCACACAAAATGACTTGTTGAATAAAATAGTTATAAATAAACCAACCTTTTTAAATATATATATTCAAGGTTTCTGTCGATATATATTTGAGATATTCTTTCTCGCATTTTACTTTTTTAATGCCTGATCAACAGTTATGAAATTTAATCCCTGGCAACCCGCGTGGCGCATTGGTTAATAGTTTCTGCTGTTTTGATCGATTTTTACGACCTCAAATTCGGCAAAGTAAGGAATTAATTGATCCTGACGTCGCGTGTTCGAATTCCATTGTTAAGACAAGAAGAATATTTGGTTGTCCTTCAGAAAACGATACCCTTTACCGAGGTTAAATTATATACATGTTGCAGTTTCCTCAGTTATACCAGTAGTGTGCTGGCACAAAAAAATTAAAGATGTTACTTTAAACCAACTTTTTTTCACTGTTCAATGGCACATTTTAGTATTAAGCCGGGTACTAAATGGACAAAATTTATAGCCCTCCACTGGCAAGTGGCGCAGTCTTCATATGAGTGAAAAATTCTCGACAGTGGCGTTAAAACAAAAAAAATAAAATCAATCAATCTCACCGCAGAAAAAGTCACCAGTCTTATAAATTTCATATTCCCTCGGAATCATATTTGAGAACAACCCTATTTTTATGACTTGGTCACCTGTGGCCGGCCGGAATTGACTTCCGGTCAACAACTTGTCAGATACAGACTTCACCTGTTAAAACTGTCTTTATCTATTTTCAGAATGGCGCAAGAAATTATCGACCTGGAAGACATCGTCCGGAAGTGGGTGAACGACTTCCCATTGGACAAAAATCAGAGGAGGGAGGCGGACGACATTCTCTCTGCCGACATAAATTGGAACCATATGCGCGTGCGTCATGGAACTACGGAATATTACGATCAGATTCGAGTCAACACTCCGAAAACGCATGTCCTCTTTACTGCGCATTTCAGTAACGAAACGGACCAGAACCAAGTATATACTCTGAAAACGGAGCGCCGAACAAAATCCACATGTTCAATTTCAATACAGAAGACATTCACGTATGGCTACAGTTTGGACTTAAAACTGACTCCACCAAATCCAATCATAGAGGCGAACGCAGGGTTCAAAGGTGAACTCAGTCTGACGAAATCAGCCAATGAGACGTTCGAAGAGGAATTGGTTTGGTCGATTGACAACCAGATTACGGTCCCGCCAAAATTTGAAACCAAAGCCGATCTGGAGATCAAGGAAGATGAATACGCTAGCCATTTCAAAACTGAAAGTAAATTCGAAGGTAAAGTTCATGTGACTTTGAGAAGCAAAAAGGACAATACGCCGTTGGCGACATTAACAGGTGATGTCAAGCAAATTTTTACCCCGGATAAAGGATTCCGGGTCGATAAGACCGGGATACACTTTGTGACTATTGGAAAGTGTAAATGTAGGTTTGGAATTGAGCAGCACGTCCGTCTGAGCCAGACTGAACTAACGCGAGCAGAGGAATTAGAATCCTAAGATTTCATTTTCCAATATCATTTGTTTTCTTTATGTTTCCACCATTCCCATTGTATGGTTTGACTTGACAGGTGCTGTATGTGGTGCAAGTATTGAATTTATTTTTGAAATAATGGATTCATATTTACAGATATAGAAAACAGGGGTAGTGAATATTAACTTTGATAAAAAATACTTCTTTTAAACATTTCAATGTTCATGGTCGAAAGGAAAATATTGATACTAGGAACCTTCCTTCCCCGAAAAGATACATGTATTATTTTTGCAGTGAAGGTTTTTATTAAAAATTCCGTAAAATGAAGAGTACATTGTATTTGTCGTTGACAGAAAAATAAAACCACAACCAAAGAAAGATTGGCGTTTTTCATTTCTTCACCTTATTTCCTGTATACGTGTACTATCCAGTGTATTTTTATATTACAACGTTTTCTCTTGTTTGAGATTAGCAAGATCTGATTTTTATAAATCATTATTACAATTATATTCAAACTTAAGCTATTTTTTCTCGCAAAAACTCATATTGTTTTTGTCATAATCAAATGTTATCATACTGTTATACTTCGGAAGGTATACAAGTTATTTTCTGCATTATAATCAAATTTTCATGAGCCCAAGTATAGTACGCTGTAGCAGACTTTGATTATAATAATGTTTTTCATCATTTGATAACAGACCGGTAACCTGCGAAGCGTGCTCTATGGTGAGAGATTGATATTATAGACTATTCGGTCTTTTGATGACGTAATTATAATACCGTATAATTGGAAATTTTAGCGAGACGCAAATTTAGCGATTTGTCCTTAAAAACTGGTAATTTATTTTTAGAGAGATGTTATTTTGGCGATTTTAAAATACACATGAAAGAAACTATTACAAATAAAACGCAATTATTTTTTAGCGATATTCAATTTTAGCGATCTCGAAACCCTCGCTTATAATGCCAATATTAAATCCTCGCTAAAAATTCTACTTATGCGGGGTAATACTTTCTACATTTTATCAATCACACATGTAGAGTCGTGTTTTTTTCCCTCCGAAATAAAACTATTCAATGGATTTTGACGAAATGCAAAAATTAATAAAACGTTATATAACAGTAAAATTTATTGTTTAAGATATTCGTGTATTGGTAAAAATATTGTAAAATTTAATATGTATTTTTTATGAATTAAAACAAGCGACGTATATTGTGTTAATTGTTAAAATTTTGTTACGTCTTATTTTGCATAAAAAATTATTTTTCATAGGATAATATTATAACGAGCCAATGACAGGGTTTGAATAAAGTGATGTTGCTGACTTTTCAGTCATGTTATGACGTCATTATAACTTCCTGAGTTGTTGGCCATTTGATATTTATCGTATCGAGCAGATTTACTTTATTAATGAAACAAACCTTCTCTCCAGTGTGAAAAATATATAATTGATCATTAAATTTCATTACTTTAAATTTGTTTTCAAATGACATTCAAAAACAATATATTTTCATTCATGGATCTTATTCAGCAGAATAAGTTGTGATAAAACGTCATTGTTACCATAGCGACAAACTACTCCCAGGTAATAATTTGTTTGGAAAGTCTCTAATTGGTTGATTATGTCATCTTTATATAATGCCAAGTTATATTACTTAGGTATCGATAATCTCTTATTCTACAAGAAAGTGTTTGACATGTATATTTACGTTGCAAAAATTGCGTAAAAATTTTAATGATGTAAATTTTGATAATTAACCCTTTTCTTTATTCGGTAAAATACTATTATTTTGTACGTATTGATACCGTGTTTAAAAATTCTGAGCTTAATATTTCAAAACTTGCTATAAATTTAGTCTTTATAGTTTTAAGTTTGCTTCAATCATTTTTTTTAAAATATTTCTCCTCAGATAAAAATTAATTTATGATTACATATCCAAGGGCTTGTAGCAGGTACTCCCGAATATGGAGTGTGTATGATCTGAACGGAAACCGCTAAAAAATTCCGACGAATAATCACGGTGGTAATAGAAATGATGAATTAATATTGGAAACTAATGAGACAAGTTATTTTCTCTATGAATGTGTTATTTTTTTGTGCAGCAATTTGTCTGCAGAAATCACAATATCATCACCTGACAAAGTATTCACACGTGGTCGATCCGGCGATCGGAATTTAATTACATTTATCTGACAATTATACATTTTTGTCACCGCTTTTCATATTGATGAATTAATTTGATAAACAAATGCATCAAAATGTCTCTTTTATGATGCAAATTTTATCAGTTCATCTTTCTTTCTTTATTTTTGTGTTGTTTTGAAGACGTGTACAATAACTACAAAATACTTAATAAAATAAAACTAAAGTGATTTATTTATTTTTATTTATTTATTGGAAGGGGGGTGTCCGTATTGATGATTTTTATCAATTTTACTTGTTGAACTCTTTTCTCAAAAATCATAATTATCATATGACTGAAAGGTCATTCTCTTTTTTGGTGCTATATGTAATACTGAATTTCTCTTTTTCTATTAATGAAGAGTATTTTTATGAGAGCGTTCTTTCAAAGTTAAGCAAACTGTCAAAACATCGATTTGCAAAGTTTAATGCCATCCGCCTCTTTACTTTATGAACTATATGTGTAAATGAAATCACATAATACATGTTATACTACGTCTAATATCTTTAATCATTCAGAGATTTCGCTCTTTCTCGCCAAACTCTCACAACCTCTCCTGAACCCTAATGACAAAGCTTCGTACATTACTCAGTAAATCTCGTATTACTGTCTGGTTTGATAAATTAATTAATTGATCAAAATACTCACAGAGTAGCCATATTTAATCTGTCTTTTATTATTTATTGATCATCTGTCGAATTATCATCCGATATTTCTCCTATTCTGTATAAATGGCGACAAATAATATATTGACTTCATCATCGGTCATTAATCTGTTTCCATGGCAGTAGATTGGCATTATTCGTCTGGTACCTTATACCGTATATAGCGGGCGATAATGATGGCTCTATAAGAGCTAAATCGTTAATATCACCTTAATTAAGGCGCAGGGAAGGACAATCTTCCTTAAGTTTTATTGATGTTCATATTGTTCGCCCAGTCACGTGGGGTAGATATCGGATACGTGTAATTGCGATAGTGGCCATTTGCAGCGTTAAAAACAAAATATTTCTGTGAAAAATATATTATTACATTTAATTGTTTATTAAAGTTCTTAAAGGTAATATATATGATAAAGAAAATTGAACTGGTCGTCTTCGACATATAAATAGGACTGGTAAAAATTAATATTAAAATATTTTTCATTATGTCTCTCACTTGAAAAGTGGGAGAGGTTGTTTATTCATGGGGTTGTTTGTCTGTACGTTCGTTCGTTACACTTTGCTTCGATATAATATTAACATAGGAGCAAAATTATCATTTATCATATATTATTTATATAAGTACTAATGCTCGCAGTACTAGTTTTAAACTATGACTACCATTTATCTCCTCCTAAGAAATCCAAGCAAGGATTCTCGCTGATAGGAACGCAAATCGAATTTTTTCACGGATTGAAAAGCCCTTCGTCTGAGATCTTTCTTTCTTCTCTCAATTCCCGAGTACCTGTGCCTCGGACCTTTCCGAAAAGCGGAAAATAAGACCCGCGATGATGCTACGGCTTTATCACCATGCAACAATAGCAATAAACCCAATTAACGTAAAGAAACTAGCTTTTGTCATCTTCTACATTTATTCATATACTCTCAAACCGACGTATGCGCGTTATTAGTATCCTCCTTATTAGCAATGTATTCTGTGACTCAAACGTCGATATAAGATGGGGGTCTAACGACCATTTTGGGATGTAAAATTTGCATAAAACCGCTGAGATGTTATAATGAAGTCGGTTTTTATGTTGGGAGTTCTTGCATGGTGAAAATGCCGAACAATAGATATATGAATAGACTTTATATCATCCTACATGTGCTGTACACCATTTATGATGTTGCATAAACTTGTCTCAATCAAGGTTTTCTTTCGATACTTTCGATTCTTTCTTTTAAAACAATAATGCAATATCTATGCTGCATTATCTAAATATTCAATATTAAATATTGAAATGGTTTTTTTTAGGTCACCTGAGTAACCTATTGCTATCTGTTTTCGTCTGTCGTCGTCCGTCGTGTGTTAACATTTTAACATTTTCAGAACCTTCTCTGCAACCGCTCAACCAATTTCAACCAATTTTGGCACAAATAAATTTTTGGTGAAGGGGGAACAAAAATTGTGAATTTCATCGTCCTTGCCCCCCTGGAGCTTGAGGAGTGGGGCCAAAACCACTGAAATTAGTGCAACCTTTTAAAATCTTCTTCTTTACTTTTGGACATGAAGCAGTCAAACTGTTAGCATGAATGTACTGAGCAGTGAGTCCTCTACCAAAATTGTGGAATCCATGGTCTCCGAGTTAGGGGTTCTAGTGCTAGGGCGGGGCTATATAGATCATATAGTGAAAGTGTATTATTTCTTCTCTGCTCCTGAGTACTAACAACCTAATATAGTTATGATGAGGACGGATGTCTCTTCAAAGATTTGATGGTCCCAGGGTCAGGGATTTTGATGTTATGGCGGGGCTCTGTTGACTATAAAGTGAAAATGCATTACTTCTTCGCTGCTCCTTGGTATTAAATAAACTACTGGTGACTGCATACATACTAATGATAAGGAAGGGTGCTTCTTCAAAAATTGTGAATTTCAAATGTCGTACTTTTCAATGGTAGAGCATGAAATACACCCAGTAGTTAACACGGCAAACCGATATTAGATCATGAAAAACACTCAGTAGTTAACACGGTAAACCGACAGTAGAACCTCAGAACAAACCCAGTATATATATCATCAGTTGTCCAACAGAACCCCTGGCATAATTTCAAAGGATGACTCAGATGAAATTTGTGTTTTTATGCGCCCGGAACGATAGATCGGGTCATATAGTGGTTTTGCCCTGTCTGTTGTCAACTTTAACCTTCGCCATAACTTTTGAACCGTGAGAGATAGAGACTTCATATTTCGTATGCATACTCTAGCTAATAATTGACACCAAGGTCATTGACCTTGACTATGACCTGTTTGCTAAAAATAGCTTTTTCGAACTTTCGCCGTAACTTTTCAACCATAAGAGATAGAGAGTTCATATTTGGTATGCATACTCCACTATAATACGTTCTTACAAATGACACCAAGGTCAGTTATGACCTTGCGACCTTGACCGTGACATATATGCTAAAAATAGCTTTATTCAAACTTTGTTGCCGCCGCGGGCGCATAGTGTTTCATAGCTGCAGATCTGTAGCTCTCCGAAAAAAAATTATTGATATCCGGTCTATCAATATATATTTTTTCGGAGAGCTACAGATCTGCAGCTAAGTGTTTCACAAACACATCTTGTTTTTTTTTGTCCGCGCTTTCAAAAAGTGGGAATATTGATTTTTTTCTGTCTGTTTATCTGTCTGTATTTCTGTCTGTTGGTAACGCTTTTATTTCCGCGCGATATATCTCGGGAAGCTTTTGGTATGAAATTTTACACAGCAATTCCCTATTTTGAAGTCAGAGATAGGTTTTCAATTTATAAACTCTATATATCTGTTTTAAAACTTTTTTCTCGCCGATATCTCGAGAGGCCTTTGAGCTGATTTTGCAGTGAAACTTACCTCAATTTCTATGGCTTAGGGAAGACCACAGGCACTTGTTTTAAAATAAGTAACAAGTGCTTGTGTGGAAGACCCTATTTATTTTGAAGGTCGTGCATTCTATGTGTGTGTTGAACTTATTTTCGAGATAAATCACGAAGCTATTAAGCTTTTGCAAAGAAATTTTATACTACAACTTCATAACAACGCCCTATGGCCCCGTCTGTCCTTCTTAAAGTAACCCCCCCCCCCCCCCCCAGCGACTCCCCTCTAGATCCGCGCATGCTCCTTTTTTTCTTTTGGCGGGGGACATCACATAGATTCTCTGAATTAGCTTGTTCCTGTTAAATGCTTTATGTATATGTACAAATTAAAAACATTCTTTGACTCTGATTCTGTGACTAAGAAAAAAAGTTGAACTTTTATCATCCTGCTAAATTCTTAGTACGCCCTATCCATACATCATCACCCGATCACTTCCGGTTAAAATGAAACTTGTTGTTAGTGACTCTCCTGAAACTTGATATGGAACTTTACGGATTGTCAGAGCCTTTCAAAACGATATATACAACCTGATAAATGAAATAGTTTTCTGATGGCATCCGGGGTTCATATGGGCCCAGGATTTCACGGCTTTATAAAAGATGTCCTTAGGTGTAGAAGCCAAGAGGTAAATCTCTCTCTCTCCCTCTCTCTCTCTGAAAGACTAGTTTCTACCTACTAGCTATTAATAGCTACCTAGGTATTTAAAGCTTAAAAAGCTATTTTTACCTACATTTTGATAATTTGCATTTTGCGACCAAAAGACTAAACGGCGCAACATGATGAATACCATATTTTTTGATACGGACACTAATGATGAATACGACAAAATTTTGTGATTACTTCGTGAATCGGCAATTTTACATTAGTTTCTATGCAAAATTGATAATATACGAGGTAATCATTTTTTTGCTTTGAAAAATTTTTGTCATATTCATCATCAGTGTGACTGTAAAGAAAAGTGCTCACCATGTTGCGCCGTCCTGCATTTGGCCACAAAATGCAAGTAAAGCAGAAAGTAGGTAAATATAGCTACTTTGGGTGTTTAAATACCTACGTAGCTATTAATACCTACGTAGGTAGAAATAGTCTTTGGAATGGACCTGTATAGGTCCCTGGTAAATCTCTCTCTCTCTCTCCCTCTCTCTCTGAGACAGTTTACTTCTTTTGTGTCTTACACACAACAGTACTAATTTTCCAGCTTAAAAAGCTTACATTTTGATAATTTAGGAGGAAAAAGAATTTGTCAACCATGAGCTGGAGCTAATCAAAGAGAGCTGGGAGAAAAATGGTGTTTTGCAGGTAGGAATTATTCAGACAGCATTGGAAAAACACGATAAAAGTGCTATGAAAAATTGTTATACATTAAGATATCAGAAAAGAACTTGACTCTTAATTTTCAGCAAGAACTAATTTTTTGTCAGGGATTTGCAAAAGATTCTGTGGCAGAGGAATTTCCAGTAATGACAAAATCCCAACTTATCTGGCTTTGCCCCATCAACCTCCACGAATCTCACTGAGATTACTATAAGAGAGGAATGGAAAAGAACTTGTACTCTTAAAATATCTCCCCAGGGTTGTCTCAAACAATTGACAGGGGACTGTCCGACATGAAAAAAGTAGAAGATGGTTTGGGGTTCCTCCCCTAACAGAGGCTTGAGGGGGGTAAACATGTACCAGAATAACCAAGGGATTATGTTTTTACAGGCAGGGAAATCCCCCAAGCCCCCGGGTCTTAAGGACAAAGTTGCTTATAGAAAATATAACCCTGTGATTGATACAATGTACTGCTTTAATTGAAATTTTATCAGTGATACTGGTACCTATTAAATTTAACAAGCTTAAAATATATCTTGGTTACTGCATGAAGTTGCAAAAGTTTTAAAAATTGTTGTATCTCTTTCATTGTTATAGGAATCTGCCTGTGACTACCTATGTCGCCTTGTGTTCTGTCACACACTGGGCTACGATGTCTCTTTTGGTCTAATGTACCCGGTAATGATGGCAATGCAGGGCTCTGGAGTGGAGAAAAGAATAGGTAAATAGTACATTAATATCAGTTAACCTTGGACTTTCAGTAAGGCGTGGTACATGTATTCTCGACATTACATAATTTGCTTTTGAAATTTACACAGCTTTCATTCACTGTTGAAATATACATGGGATAGAAATTTGGACCAATGTCAGCGAGTGTAGCATATATTCATAAGCATTACAGTGTCTCATACGGCAAAGAGGTGTGGCTTACTGTAGATTCCTTAATATACGTGTGGAATTAATAATCGCATAATTTCACGGAACACACCAATCACGAAATAAAATTACTTGCTTTTATTTTTATGGTTATGAAATCTATGTAAAATATATTGATCGAACGTTCATTCGCAAATTGTTATTCTCACGCTTTGACGTTGAAAAGCCCAATCGCGATAAAAAGCAATCGTGAAAAATAAGGAATCTACAGTAATAAGTTGTCTCATTGTTGTCAACAATAATTTAAAGTTCCTGTAAATATAGACTTAGAATTGTACTTAGGCTCATTTTTTGAAAAATTTATGGGTTGGTAGGTAGCCGTAGGTGGAAGAAATCTCTTCCAGAAAATTTCAGCATATAAATGGCCCTTCTCAAAACTTTTTTTTTTACATTCCAGGATATATCTTTCTTTCTTCTTATTCCTCAGAATCTTCTTATCCTGTCAACAAAAATGTTGAAATTTTCTGGATATTAAAAGATTTTCTCTTCATTACCTACCGACCCATTCATTTTACCGTGAGTTGGGAGAGGGCAAGCAAATATTATTTTAAAAATTTCCTAATATTTAAACTTAAGGCATAAATTTTCTATATACAGGTTATATGGCGGCCATGTAGTGACTGCATTACAAAAAAGACATATGCAAAGGGGGAAATCAAAGAAAATGTAATCTAGCCCTTTTCCTATTGAGTACCATTCAGATGGTAAGTCATGTCACTCGTGAGACAGGATTTTTTTTTATATTTTCAGTAGGAGCCAGACTGGGAAAAAAATTAACTGGCAAAAAAGGCCAAGATAAATAAATTATTAATAGGGTGTTTCCTATTCCAACCTGAGAAAAAAAATACCATGGAACAAAAATGTTGAAATTTTCTGGATATTAAAAGATTTTGTCATCATTACCTACTGACCCATTCATTGTACCATGAGTTGGGAGAGGGCAAGCAAATATTATTTTCAAAATTTCCTAACATCTAAACTTAAAGTAGAAATTTTCTATATGCAGGTTATAAAATGCAATTAATTTTAGCCCTTTTCCTATATACCATTTGGTAAGTCATGTCTCAGCATCCTCGTAATAATGCCAAAAAAAATTATCTGGCAAATAAGGCCAAGATAAATTAATAGTGTGTTTCCTAAGCAGGTTGGGAATTTCAAAGCATTTTATTTTATTTAGCATTTTATTGGCAAGCACGCTGCTACATGTATTTTTCCCAGGGTAATTGCTGTCAAAATATTTCTGTTTAAAATGCGTAAGATATGCATTTTCTCAAACACGGAAGTGATCAAAATTGGGGTTTTTAATTGTAAAACTGGAATACAAGAAACTGCATAACTGCATGGTGGCTGCCAGAAAATTATGCGGCAGGCTTCTGATAAAGTATTTTCTTTACCAGGAACTTCTTGGATTTTGGACTCAAGGAATAGAGTACTCTTTCAATACTCAAATTTTAAAAAACTGCATAAACACGACAGTATACTGACGTAAAAACAAATAATTGGATTCAAGGTCAAAATCTTGTGGGACTTCTGCTTTTAAATAAACTTTTGTCTTTTGCAAAAAAATTTTTTTTGGCAAAGAATATATTGTATAAGTACTTTTTCAGCATGGTATTAATTTAGGCTTAATTAGTACACAGTCACAAATTTTCCGTGGAAATGTATGCAAGCGTCCTTCATATACATAGAATATAAGGCATATATAGTGATAGTCTAAGAAATTTGCATAGTTTTCTACTTAGAAAATTGAGATTCTGTGAAATTATAATGATTAATCCCGTGGAAAAAAGAAAACAGTACATCTACAGTATAATAAACTTTTCTGTCATAGGACCTGAATAGGAGTAGCAATCTGGATAACTGTTTTGCACTGTCTGCTGTCTGCCATCTTGTCCACTCAAGGGAAGACTACCTCAGCATGTATTTATCTGGAGTCCAGCATAAACTGGAACATCCAAGGTACAGTGGGGCTATACACTTGAATGTCTTCATCTAGATTAAATGAAGAATATAGCATAAAAATTACAGTTGCGTATGATTAATATGTACAACTTCATCCAGGTAAAAAAAGATTGTATTTGAAATACAGCTTTACAGTACTGTATGTGTACATAAATTGGAATATTAAACATTTAGGGCATTCACTTGGTACTGAGTTATTGGCCTTAACTGATGAAATTATTCTCTGTATTTTCTAGCATTAATTAAATCAATAAGGAATTCCAGAAAGAGAGGAAGGGGGGGGGGTGGCAACTAGATTTGGCAATGTGTGACCTTTGTAATTTCTTTTTAATTTCAAAGTGAGCTAGTGAGAATGAAGGCAGCATGCTGTATCCTGAGATTTATAAAGATCATTCCCAGCTATGTGAGTGAACTACAGGACAACTGCAGAAAGCTTCTGTGTGATAAAGATCCAGGGGTCATGTCTATGGGGGTCAAGTTACAGTTAGAGCTGCTGAAGGTAGTTCTGGTTATGACTTCCATTACACTTCAACATTTCATGATACAACATTTTTGTAATTTAGAAATCATGGTATTTTGGCGATGAATTGAATTTTCCATCTTTTAATGTTCGTTCCTAGAAATACCATTTAGTGTTTCTATTCTTATTATCACATGTACATGTACATGTATATATAATTACATATTTCTAAAATTGAAAATACTTCAAGTAATTTTTTTATTGTACAATTTCGCTAAAACAAAATATTCAGTTATGAAATTAAGATCATGTGTATGCATTTTGTCTGATATTGAAAAAAAAATGCTAGCTGATATATTGCCTATAGTACTCTCCATTCATTGTTTATGAAATCATTGTTAATGAAACAAATTTCTTTATATTTTTTTTTAAGCAAAACTTTTTTTTTTAAAACAGAGATCATCAAATAAAAATAATATCGTTATAGGCGTACTTTACAACGACCGCTTTCATGGCGAACCTTGAAACATTAAACAGTTAAACAGTTCATTTTCAAATTATTGTTTACTTAATTGCATGTACCTTGACTGGCTTTGCATGCTTTACAACAGGGATAGCGTCAACCAATTAGCCGCGCTTCAATTTTTTTTTTTACACTTAAAAATGGACGTTTGTTGTGAAAACACACCTTCGTTATAAAGAGAATTTTATATAGCAGGAAAAACGTTCTTGGGAAATCATGGCGGTATTGCGAAAATGGCGATGAATCGAATGGCGATAATTCGAGAATTGACTGTATTTAAGATATTATAATGTTTTAGCTCACCTAAGCTGAAAGCGCAAGTGTCTTTGAAACACTTTAGATAAATTCTTCATTTTTTTTTTAATGATTTTATAGTAACAAAGTATCCCTGGGTGAAGGGAATTCAATTTTTTTTTTTAATGAATGGCCACACCTTCTTTCAAGGGGAGATAAGTCCCCTTTAAAGCATCCACTTTGAAAACTTTAGATAAATTATAATGATTTTATAGGACAAGTCATGTACCTTGGACATGAGATATTTATTACATATCAGGGTTATTTCATCATGCTGAAATTCAGTTATGTAATAAGTTTTATTAAAGAACAATGTTACCTTAATTGTGTGGGGCTGTATAACCCCCTTCCCAATGTAAACTTTTAAATACTGAACTGATTTGTGCTTTCCCTACACAATGTGCTCAGGTTAGTGATGTGGCCCATTGACCTCTTTTTGATCAATTTTAAAACCCATAAAAAAATAAAGAAAATAATTGGGCTAACAATTTGTAGCTCAGTGAGAATTCAGAAGAAAACCCATAACTAAGATACATGTACAGGTATGTATACAAATCATAAAAATAAAAGTTTTGCAAACTTTGTTTCTTTCAGAAAGGAATGCAAACAAGCCCAAACTTGACCTCTGACCTTATAAAAATTCAACAGCAGATAACGAACAGAAGTCTCCCATCATCCTTTGAGTATCATGGCATCCCATTACCATGGCTACAGATAGACATACTTAGGGCCTTGGCACTTCTTGGTAGAGAAAACAAAAAGTAAATTTAGAGTTTGTTACAGATACTTTTCTGTCATGTTTTGAATACTCAGTGGTCATGGCAATTTGATACTACTGTAAAACAACTTTTATTAGCAATGATTTTATTTTACGATTTACCAAGGGTAAACTAGTTTGCTACAATTAATTTTTTGTATCCAGTTGCTAATAGACACAGATTTTAAAGACCAATTTGCAGTGAGAAATATTTGTGATGACAAGTTTCTCACAAAACCTCACAAAAATTTCTCACAATCATGTGTATAAAAGTTGGTTTGCAGTATTTTGAACCCTCTAGAAAATAATTTTTTTTTTATCAATTTAAAAAATATCTTTGAAAAAATGTGAGAATGTAACATAATTGAAATCTAAAAAATTAGGTGAAGTGCTTTTCAGATAATGTAAAATTTAAAGAAACATTTTAATTAAAATTTTCAGGATCAGTGAAGACATGTACCCCCTGCTGAGAAATGTATTAGATCAGACAGACATGAGAGAGAAAATGACCTATGGTAAGTTTACATATATATGAATTATACTGTATCTGATTATGATATGAAGTTTTTGCATCTGAAATTTTTATCTAAAATTGATTACTAGTACAGCAAAACTTGGTTATAACAAAGTCCCTGGGACATTTTAAATTTCTTTGCCATATCCGTAATTCGTTATAACTGTATAAGAAATTCATTAAATATATATTGCTGGGGATCAAAGATGACTTCGCTATATCTGTGAATTCGCAATATCCATGTTTGTACTAAGCAAGTTTTACTGTATATTGTGCTGTAGTACATAATAAGTTCCTTGCATATCACCAAATATCAGAGAAATCAAAATTAAAACTCTATCAATCGAGAGATAATTGGATTTTAGTTAACATTCATTTTCCTCTGATTTGTAGTTATTTATGATTTCTCTCGAATTATCCTTCTTGGCTTATTATTTCATGTTAAACTATAAATTCATTTTTTTTGGGATTCATGTTGCTATAATCTTATTAAGTTTCTTTGGGTTTTTTAGCTCATCTGAGCTGAAAGCTCAAGTGAGCTTTTCTGATCACCCATTGTCAGTTGTTCGTCCTTCGTCTATCAGTCGGTCCGTCCGTCTGTCTGTTTGTTAATTTTTCACATTTTCAACTTCTTTTTAAGAACCACTGGGCCAATTTTAACCAAACTTGGTACAAAACATTCTTTGGTGAAGGGGAATGTAAATTGTTCAAATAAAGGGCCAGGGCCCCTTCCAACGGGAGATAATCAAGAAAATACAAAAATAGGGTGGGGTCATTTAAAAATCTTCTTCTTAAGAACCACTGGGCCAGAAAAACTGAAACTTATGTGGAAGCATCCTGAGGTAGTGTAGATTCTAAATTGTAAAAATCATGACCCCCTGAGGGTAGGGTGGGGCCACAATAGGGAATCCAAGTTTTACATAAAAATATATAAAGGAACAATCTTTAAAAATCTTTTTCTCAGAACCAGTGGGCCAGGAAAGCTGAAACTTATGTGGAAGCATCCTGGGGTAGTGTAAATTCTAAATTAATAAAATCATGACCCCGAGGGTAGATTGAGGCCTCAATAGGGGGTCCAAGTTTTACATAAAAATATATAAAGGAACAACCTTTAAAAATCTTCTTCTCAGAACCAGTGGGCCAGGAAAGCTGAAACTTATGTGGAAGCATCCTGGGGTAGTGTAAATTCTAAATTGATAAAATCATGACCCCGAGGGTAGGTTGGGGTCACAATAGGGGGTCCAAGTTTTACATAAAAATATATAAAGGAACAATCTTTAAAAATCTTCTTCTCAGAACCAGTGGGCCAGGAAAGCTGAAACTTATGTGGAAGCATCCTGGGGTAGTGTAAATTCTAAATTGATAAAATCATGACCCCAGAGGGTAGGTTGGGGCCACAATAGGGGGTCCTTGTTTTATATAGAAATATATTGGAAAAATCTTCTAATCAAGCACCAGTGGGCCAGCTAAACTTTCAGTGGAAGCATCCTGGGGTAGTGTAGATTCTAAATTATTAAAATCAAGGTGGGGGTGTGGAGGGGAGGGGGCCACAATAGATGTAAGAAGAGGGGAAATCTTGTAAAGAACTGCATCCCCAAAGTTACTCAGGTGACCCATGGGCCTCTTGTTTATACATGTAGTACTTTGAATCACTAATTTTCATGGGGGTTTTATATTCATATTATGCATAAAGAGACCAACAAATTTATGACCACCAAGTAATCAAAAATTTTATATACATTACTACTACTCTAATATTCTCCAACCACAAGTTAAGTCCCCACAAACCAATATTCTTCCTCAAACCTCAGAAGTTTTACATATAATGTACCCCACGAAATTGTTTGATTTTACAGTACTGTAGTAGATCTTTAATATTTTTTGCAGCTATTTTATATGAATGCATTGTGACCATCAGCAGTATTTTGCCTCACAGAGAACTTCTGACTGAAGGATGTAACAAAGTAAAGAAATTAATCTCCTCAACAAGTTATGTCGTCAAAAGCATGGGTAAGAGTTTAAATTTTATTGTACAGTTGAACTTGGTTAAAGCTAACTTTAAAATCACAAATGCCATGCATATTATGTCAAACTGATTTTAATGTCTAAACCACTATTTTCTTAATGTGTTAATTTTAATGTATTATACAACCTCAAAACATTGAATATGCCAAACTTTTCCTCTCAGTCCTTCTGAGTTGAAATAATTATTAATTCAACTTTGTGTGGCTTTAAAGTGCTTTATATACATTGTGCCATCTCAAATTAATTTTCAAATTGAATATACAAGTATATTTTTCATCTTTTGTAGGTGTGAAGGCCCTGTCACACTTGATGTCAAAGAGTCCAGAGAATTGTCAGGTGATTGTGGCAGAGCTTCTCAATGACCCAGATCCTTCCATCCAATCAAAGGCATGTGAAAGTTTGAAAACTATGTTTAAGCATGGTATATTTTATGAAAAAAAATTAAAAAATTGAAAATGACAACAGTTAAAAGTTAAGATGATTAAATTTTTTATTAATTTAATCTTTTTCATTCATATCAATTTGATATTTGTTTTTTATTTAGATTGCTGATCTTCAGTCTGCAATGTAATATGGCTAAAGTGAAAGAGATCAAGGTTGTTTGAAGAACTCAACTATAATCATGCAGTATTAATTTTGGAGATAAATCTACAGCCACACTCCTAATTTTCTTTACATTTAATTCTACCTCCATGGACTAGAGAGCTCTTAGTTTTTGAAGAGTCACAAAAGAGAGATAAATCAACTGAAGAAACAGAAAATAATGATTGTAAAACATCCACTCGTTAGATTTTTTTTAGCCTAAGACATTGTCAGAAAATTTCACCTCTGGAGAAACATTATTTTCGATTGCTAACCATAGCAGGAAAAGCTTTGATAAGGCAGAATATCACATTTATTTTAAGTAATGAAGATTTTTCTGAAGATGGAATAAGTCTTCTGGATGAGCAACCATTTTCTGGTTGTGATAAAGATATTGATGACGGGAGCTAGCCTAGAAGATATAGAAAGTTTAAAAACTTTAAGCCAGTTAAATTTAGACACAAGCCCCAAAGCAAAGACAAGAAAAGTGAAAGGAAAGTGAAAGTGAAACTGAGAAAGTGAGTTGTCTCAGTAAAAGGGTACCTAATTTTTACAGTTCGTAATTTTTACAGTTCACAAAATAGGCAATTATAAAGAAGGAAAATTAGAGAATGTAAATATAAGCATTGAAAAATTTTCACAAATTGTGGTTATTGCTTTATATAATCTTAAGGAATACTATCAACACACCTGGCACACTGTGCCGACAAATTATCATTCAATTTGTCGGCATGTGCCAGGTGTGTTATAATGAACAGTGTTTGTGATCTACACAAAATATTAATTCAATGCTTAAATGATTGTATTTTATTAGAGACTATTTATTAGCTACATGTATATAATAAATGTGCATTATTGTCTTCCCAGCAATATTTATTGAATTTGTTTGTAGTATTTACAATATCAGAAGCATTATTGTGATAAAACTGAAATATAAAACTTAAATACTCAAATTAGGATTTATTTTTTTTCAGCTCACCTGTACAGTAGACTAAGGTGAGCTTTCCTGATCAAAGAGTGTCCGTGGTCTGTTTATATGTAAAATCATTTAACAATTTCTAAAACGAGGTAAATTATTGACAAACAAGTTGATGAAACAAGAATATCAGTAGTCTTGTTTAAAGTCATCATTTGGTAAGTTCTATGGTCAATAAAATGACCTTGTCAGCCAATACAATTTATCACAGAGTCAAATGCTGACTGGCATTTTTATACTAATTGTTAGACTAAGTCCATTATTTATACACTGAATTGACAACGGATTTTTTTGTGATCATAACAAGGAGCACACGGCGGGTGTGACCGGTCGACAGGGCATGTTCACTCTTCCATAGCACCTGATCCCTCCTCTGATGTTTTGGAGGTCCGTGTTTGCTCTGCTCCTGTTTTGTATTGTTTTATGGACTTTTGATCTTGAATTCTGTTCGTTATCTCCATATGTTTCAATTTCATTACAATGCTCGCGGATCTAGACAGGATATGTGTGTGTTGGGGGGGTGCATTTGGGATTTTCCAAAAAAAAAAAAAGGTACTAAAGTAAAAAAAAACCCACCTCTTCGTACTCTCAAAAAAGAAACTTGACACACACACACACACACACACACACAAGTTTTGCGGACCCTTGTTAAAAGTTACAATGGTAAGGAAATGAAGGAACGCGCTTATCAAATTAACGCACTTTGAAAAAAAATTAATTTTTATATTCAAAGTGCTTATATGTAAATATCGACCTTAGTAAAACATTTTTTAAAGAAATGTGCAGGACTTGAATTAGTCAAAGTTCTACCAAATTTTAAATAATTAATTTATTAATTAAATTAATGTAAAACTTTTTGTTGGTGAATCAAAAATTAAAATGGTAATCTGCGCTTATCAAATTAACGCAGTTTGAAAAAAAAATAATTTCTATTTTCAAAGTTCTTAAATATCGACCTTAGTAAAACACTTTTAAAAAATGTGCAGGACATAAATTAGTCAAAATTCTACCAAATTTTAAATAATTAATTAATCAAATGTAAATAATTATTTGTATCTAGTTGGATAACGTTTTGTTGGTGACATCACTTTAGTTTACAGGTACGGAAAAGACGACAAAATGGGGTCCAAGTTTGTATGCTCATTGAAAATAATTTTCCAGCACAACATAACAGCTCTTTTTTTAAAATTATTTGATAAAATAGAGACAATTAAACAGTACATGCATGTAGATTTATTTATATACAGTTCCAGTTATTACACTTTTCCATTCATTTTTTTATAACAACTAGTTAAGTTCATGGGTTACCTTTATATAGGGAGTGATTTTAAATTATAAACATGTACATACGATACGCATGATATGTGCTCGTTTGTAAGGGGGGGGGGGCATGTACTGCAAGACTCCCCCCTTACTAAATTCCATCATATTGGCAATTGCTGTAGATTTTTCGAACACAATCCTGACCAATTTTAGTAAGTATACTTTTGAGAGGATCCAAGTTTTTATCTTCTCTCTGTATCCCCTTTTGATTACGTTTTTTTTTTCGACTTTAATTGCCCCACCCCCTTTCATTCATTTGAAAACGATATTTTCTGCCTGTGCAACTTTTATTTTGACATATAAGAAAATTTAAACTGTAACATTTATGCAGTTTTAAAACGTTTTATTTTTCATTTAAAAGAATAGTCGAAAGTCTTGATAATGGGGATTGGGGGGGGGAGCTTTTATTTCATTTAATTGTACAACCTATCCATAATGTACTTCACTTCCGTATGAAACGAAAGTAGAATTGTCAGTGAGCAATTATTTCTGCAATGGGTTTGCTAAACAGCAAAACTAGTTTCCAGCATGTAAACGCGGATTTTCGTCAATAAAATCGTGTAAGCCTCTAACGAGACGACACCCAGGATGTCTGACGTCATAGAGAAGACCATCGCTTCCCTCCCGAAGTTGTTCTCTGACGGCATCCGGGGATCAGCGGCGGATAAAAACACGTCTAACAAAAAGCTGATGGGGAGGGCATTTCATGTCTTTATCAGAAGTGTCTGCAGGTGTCGCAACTTAGCGGTAAAATCTCTCTCTCTCTCTCTCTCTCTCTCTCTCTCTCTCTCTCTCTCTCTCAGGCTCTCTCTATCTTTCAGCCCCCCTCTCTCCAAGATGTTAGATCACTCTTTTTCTCTCTTACATACAAGTGCATAAATGATGAATGAAGAAACTGTTATTTCCAATCGATATTTTAGGAGGAAAAGGCATTTGTTGCCCATGAACTGGAACAAATCAAAGAAAATTTAAGCAGAGCTGGTGTTTCACAGGTAGGGATCATTTCAAGCCTACAGCTCTCTCTCTCTCTCTCTCTCCCTTACAAAAAAGAACCATAGTAGCAACCATAAGCAAGAAACTGTTAGAGTATAAAACCAAATGCAAGATATGCTCTTTAATTCTTCAAAATAAAAAACATAAACTTTGCAGTGTTACATTCAATCTCCTTTTTTTGCAAGAACTTAATTTTTGTTTATTACTCAATGAGACAATGTACTCGCGAAAATATAATTCTTATGAATATTTGGTATTCCTAAAGATTTTATAGACCAGTTACCAGGGTTAGTGAAATTTTTTTCTTGCTAATACAGAATTAATGTCTTATCCTGTGAAAATACAGTGTTGTGAAAATTTAGTGATCTACAGTATTCAAGAATGATAAAGAAAAAAAAATCAATTTTGTGGTCATTGCATAGGTACGGTGTTTAATATGTAAAATCTGTACCTCAAGTTTGCTTTCACTTTCATTTTCAGGACTCTGTGTGTGACAACCTTTGTCGTCTAGTGTTCTGTCACATTCTCGGTTATGATGTGTCTTTTGGTCTCATCTACACAATGAAGCTGGCACAGCAAGGTTCTGGACTAGAAAAAAGAATTGGTAAATTTCTTTTTTTGTTAATATTACAGTAAAACACAAAATTAACATGCTTATAATTAGTTGACACTTACAACAAAATGATTTTCATTAATATTAAAAATAAAGGGAAAAAATCCATTTTTTAAAATTTCAAAAACATGAAAAAAATTGGTTAATGGATCAGTTAATTCAAAAATAAAATAACTGTGGCCTTATATTGAAACAATAATATATATCTGTAGCACTCCTTTAGGGCCTAGCACTTGTAGATATATGCATGTTTAAGCCTGTTTTAGAGTAAATAATTATGTGAGGTTTTTTTTTCATATCCCTATAATTTATGTACTTTCTCCCTCCTGTATTTTACCAACTGAAAATTTTTAGTGACAAAATTTTCAAAACATTGAAATTTATATTTAAATTTTACCATGCAGGTTACACGACTGCCATGTTACTCATTCACCAGGATCAGGAACTAGCTCTGCTGTTGATGAATACCATTCAGAAGGTTAGTAGCGACACAGGGTTCCCCATGTCTGAAAAGTTAACCATGAAGGGAGCTGCAGTCAAAGCGAAAATTGATAGCAAGCACAAATATGTGTTCAACTTCCTAAACTTCTTTATTTATTGACTGATTTTCCGCAAACTTTTTCCATTGCAACACAAAAATGCTTTTTAAATAAAACAGAAGCAATGAAAAGTATAATGTAAACTTAACCATAGAGGAAGCTGCACAAAAGTGAAAAATTGATCACAAGCACAAATGTTTGTTCAATTTCCTAAAATTCTTTATTTATTGACTGATTTTCCAAAAAACCTTTTCCATTTCAACTCAAAAATGTTGAAAAAAAAAAAATCAAACAACAAAAAAGGATTTTGTATCCAAGTTTACTTAACCATGGCTCACATGAATTTAAACATGGTGGGCTGCCATAGTATAACTGTTTGCAGAGAACCCTGAAAGACAGTAGAGTTTGACCTTAAATTAATGCCTGTCAGGCAGCCCAAGATCAAGAAATAATTGGAAGAGTATGAAGACTGGTCATAAAGTTGGGACCATATGTTATTCCATATGATCCTTGCACATAAAAGATCCCTGGAACCCAAATACTTCTCCATTAGAAGTTAATCCACAATAAAGTCCCAAATTAAATACTGTGAAATCACCAATTTTTGGTAGGAGTTTAATTTTTAATTTATGGTTTTCTGGGTATGAACAGACCTACAAATTTATGTCCACCATGTACCGGTAATGTAATTTCTCACAAATGTTATATTTCTACTTAACAAGTCTTCATCCACAAAAAAATCCCCAGAATGCATATTTTTTCCTAAAATCATGAAAATTTGACCCCAGAAAAATGTATGACTTTACAGTTCTTTAACACTTTATTAAAACTAATTTTTAGTGCTTTCTTAGTAAACATTGACTTATCTTTCTATTACAGGATCTGAGCAGCACTAACATTCTGGATAACTGTATAGCCCTGTCAGCTGTGTGTCATTTGGTCAGATCAGAGGTCGGTGCCATCAGCATGTTCCTACCCCTGGTACAGAAGAAACTACAACATCCAAGGTACAGTAATGGTTGCCTACATGGAGCAGTGGTTAGAGTGTCTGCTCTAGAGTTGATCTTTATGTCGCGGGTTCGAATCCTGTTGTGGGATGTAGAGAGCTATCTTTCGGAGAGTCATTAAACCAAGATTGGATAAACTTCTCAATGGCCCTGAGTGCAGAGCATAGACCAAAAAATTGAAGCTCTCCATAGACAAGTCCTGACATCTCCATATTAGTGAAAAATACCCAAGAGGGATGTTAAACAACAAACCAACCACTAATGGGGCTATATTAAATCGATAAAAGGGTAAAAAAAAAGATGGCTAATTCTAATAACTTGATGTTGATTTTTTAGAGAATTGGTAAGAATGAAGGCAGCTTGTTGTATCCTGAGGTTTATAAGGATCATCCCCAGCTACCAACGCCACCTAGAGGACAACTGTAGAAAGCTTCTGTATGACAAAGATCCAGGGGTCATGTCAATAGGGGTCAAGATTCAGCTAGAGCTGCTTAAGGTAAAATTTGACTATTTGTATGTGCTTCATGGCATTTAGCAAGGATCTTTGACCCTTTTGGTACAGGGTTCATGACCCCTCTCAATTTAGCATATTGATTACAGCAGAGTTCTTGAAATCTTTTTTCAGCTGTCAGTCATTTGGACTGACTGCCATGACCTTTTCGTTCAACAGATTATGATCGGTCGGTTATAGGGAATTCGTACGAAATTTAGTCGGATTTACGCAAGTTGCTTTCTCAACATCTAACAGTCATTTGGAGTGAAAAAAAATCGGTCCTTGGTTGTTTTCATAAAATTGCAAAATCTGATTACATTCATTTGGAAGAAAAAATTGACTAAATGGGAAAATAATTCTAGATTTATATTAAATAAATACTGGATTCAAATACTGGAAAAATATGTGGAAATAATGAACAGTATTGGTGCTCAAAGTCCATTAAACATTACAAAATAGGAGGTGAGGAAACATGGAACTCTCAAACAATTCAGAGGTGTGATCAGGTGCCATGGAGGAGTAAGCATTACCTGCTGATCTATAATACCCACTGTGTGCACCTTGTCATGTTCAAGAAAAAGCAGAAAAAATTGTAGACAATTCAGTGTGTAAATAATGACTTATGACTAAAGATACTAAGTACAGGTAAAAACAAAGCATGGGTGTTAAAAGTTTTTCAAAATTATCTTTTTAGGGAGGAAATCAAAACAGCCAGAACTTGACCTCTGACCTAATCAAAATTCAACAGCAGATTATGAACAGAAGTCTCCCATCATCCTTTGAGTATCATGGCATCCCATTGCCATGGCTTCAGATTGACATACTGAGGGTTTTGGCAGTTCTTGGTAGAGCAAACAAAAAGTAAAGTTCAACTTCAATACAAATATTTTTTTTATATACACAACTAAAAAAATCAGAGTAACATTTTTAAAAAAGATGTTGTCAGAGTAAAAGGATGCATGTCTACAACAATTTCATCATTAGTCTGAGTTTCAGTAGGTATTGTTATGTTTACAACTGATATTTGTAATAATAAGGTGCATTTAAACTTATACTTATAATTTGTTTTTATAATTTTTTTTCAGAAACAGTGAAGACATGTACCCCCTGCTGAGAGAGCTTCTGGATAAAATTAACATGAGGGAGAAAATGGCTTACGGTAAGGCAGTCGTAAACTATCTATAAATTTGACTGCATTTTAAATCCAAATGTCAAATGATTGTGAGATCTGAAAACACAAGACAATGAATGAAAATGTATTTTATTAATTTCATACTCTTTTGATTCATAGTCAGTACTTATGACTTTGAAATTGTTCTCCTTGTATCATTTAAATAAACTTCAGTCTGAATAAGATTTATGATGAATTTGAAAACTTTGAGCTGTAAATGTGTGTAAATAGTTTAACTACATATCTTGAAGACCAATATCTTGAATATTCTAGATATGTTGAATTGATTTGGAAATTGAGATAACTTCTTCATAGAATATTTTATCTTTGATATTTCCAAACCTGCGTGTATTGAAGTTTCTCCTCTGTCCCATCAAGTTTGAGGTAATGAGGTATGCTGTACATTTTTGTAGCTCTCATGTATGAATGCATTGTGACCATCACCAGTATTGTACCCCATCGAGGCCTTCTGAGTGAAGCAAGTATCAGAGTGAAGAAATTCATCTCCTCAACAAGTTATGTCCTCAAGTACATAGGTAAGACTTGTACATTTAGTGAGTGATGTCTATGATGTTTGCATTTTGTCTTCAAATTCCTACATTTGTCTATAATATATGTAACTTGTACAAAGCTAACAAAAGTTTTATTATCACATCATAGACCTACTTTTTCACAGTAAAATATCAGTAAAGACGTACAATACATCCACAACACCTTCCCTATCACCCTTCTCCCCCTCACTTCCCCACACTTCTCCATTTTTCCATAAAACAATATTACCTACCTTTTTAATACTGCAATATACTTACTATAAAATACAATACATGCCTAAGTAATGAGACAGTAATGCATCAAATAGTAGTACAAGATATGAGATTGATTAATTGACCCTTTCATACCCCCCTCCCCCCTCCCCAAAACATTTGAAGGGTGCTTGATGATTCATTTATCACCTATTCAGTTTTGGTTTGAAAAAGAATCTGTGTAATGTTGATTTTCTACAGGTGTGAAGGCCCTGACACATCTGATCACTGTGAGCCCTGAGAGCACCACTGACTGTCAGATGATTGTAGTAGAGCTTCTAGATGACCCAGATCCAGCCATCCAATCAAAGGCACGTGAATGTTTGGAAAAAAACATATGAAAGAATAACACATCAATTTTTTTTTAAAAAGGCAACATTTACAGTAACTTAACAATGTATAACATTGATGATGACTATATTTACTAAGAACGTGTTTGATTTAAAGAGATTTTCTAAAAAAAATTATAATGAAAAGCAGATTGATTGATTGCATGTTCTTACTTATATGTTCTGTTTGAGAAATTTTTGAATAACGGAATGTGAAATGTCTTGCATTTCATCATTAATTTGATAAAGTTGTTCCTGAGGCAGAAAAGAACATATAAGCAATTGTTGTTGATATATTTTTACTGTCAAGCTGTAAACCTGTAAACTCAGGTGACCTATTGCTATCCGTTTTGTCCATCGTCGTGCGTCTTAGTCGTGCGTTAACATTTGAACATTTTCAGCTTCTTCTCTGAAACCAATGAACCAATTTCAACCAACTTTGGCATACAGCATCAATGGGTGAAGGGGAACAAAAATTGTGAATTTCATGGTCCCTGTCCCCCTGGGGCCTTGGGAGTGGGGCAAAACCACTAAAAATAGTGCAATCTTCAGAGCTGTTTACTCTTACAATTTCGCCATATTTTTTACGGATTTTTAATCAAAAACACGTCTCACGTTTTGCTATTATGAAAATACGGAAATACGTTCGTTTGGAATTTAGGAGTTAGTTTTCATTATGATTTGTTGAAATATTGCTGAAAGAATGCCTACTCGGCTTAAAACAGCAACAGTCATTGACAATCAATTGTAATGATCTGGTCGCCGGGGCCGCGTTGCGCAGTGTATAGAGCGTCTGCTCTAAGAGTTGCACAGTAAGGACTTGCTCCTTACGTCGAGGGTTCGAATCCCACTTGTGTGATGTGGAGACCGGTCCTTCAAATCAGACCATATAAACCGTGTCGCAATAGGTGCTGGCACGAAACAGACCCCTCCCTGCTCTATGGCCTTGAGTGCTGAGTAGTGGACAAAATTCGCAGCTCTCCACGGGCAGGTGGTTTCGTCTTAATGAGTAAAAAATTATTGAGATACATTAAACAATCAATCAATCATCCTTATGATCTGTCTGAGTTTCACGCCCTTTAATCACTGTAAAAGAAAAAATTAAAGGACATTGGCGATTTTGAATTGCCAAAAATGCTGTGGTATAACATGACAAAGAACACGTTACATGTATTTAACCATGTTTTAATAATCAAAAAAGCAGTTGTTCTACAACTATATACGTAAAATCAATGGAAAGCGAAATCTTACTCGCAAATGTTAAATCTCACGGACAAATCTGATCAAAAATACTGAGAGACGACGGTAAGGGTAAACAGGTCTGAATCTTTAAAAATCTTCTTCTTTACTCCTGGACATCAAGCAGACAAACTGTTGGTATGATTGTAATCAGCATTGAGTCCTCTACCAAAATTGTGAAATTCATGGCCCCAGGGTCAGGGGTTCTAGTGCTAGGGCGGGGCTCTATTGATAATATGGTGAAAATGCATTATTTCTTTGAAAATCTTCTTCTCTGCTCCTGGGTATCAAATTAACAATCTAAGTACATAGTTATGATGAGCAAAAGGGCTTTTTTCATATTTGTGAATTTTATGGCCCCAGGGTCAGGGGTTCTGGTGCTAGGGCGGGGCTCTATTGATTATATAGTGAAAAGGCATTTATTCTTTGAAAATCTTCTTCTCTATTCCTGTATATTAAATAAACTAACTAAGTACATTGTTATGATGAGTAAGAGTGCCTCTTTCAAAATTGTGAATTTTAAGGCCCCAGGGTCAGGGGTTCTGGTGTTAGGGTGGGGCTCTATTGGTTGTGAAAATGCATTTATTCTTTAAAAATCTTCTTCTCTGCTTCAAGGTATTAAATAAACAACATAAAGTACATAGTTATGATGAGCAAGAATGGCACTTCAACCAATTTTGTGAATTTTTATGTCCCCTGTGTCAGGAGTTTTGCAATTTGCTTTAGGGGGGGGGGACTTTTGATTATATAGTGAAAATGCATTAATTCTTTGAAAATCTTTTCCTTTGCTCCAGGGTATTAAATTACGCCAATGATCTAAGTATATATATATTTTTTTGATGAAAAAGGGTGTATCTAGCAAAACGGTTAATTTCATGCCCCTTGGGTCAGGGGTATGGGGGGGGTACATAGTCTGAAAATAAATTAATGCTTTGAAATCTGCTTTTTGGTATTAATCAACCATTTATGATGAAATAAAATTTATGATAAAATTTCCAAAATTTTGAAATAAATGGCCCCAGGGTTAGTGGTTCCTTTGGGGTGAGGTGCATAACTGTTTATAAAGTGGAAGTGCATTTTCTCTTTGTTACTCTGATCTACGTCTGGGTATTAAGTAACTAGAGTAAGCATGGTAAGTGTATAATTATGATAAGCAATAGTGCCTCTTTCAAAATTATGAATTTCATGGCCTCTGGTTTAAAACACGAAATAAATTCAATTGTTAAAAGTTGTTACATGACCCTCAGGTGACCTACAGTGGCTGGAACGTTATTGTTGACAAACCAATCGTGTAGAATCGTTCGTGTATCGTGAGTGATCGTTCGTTTAACGTGCAAGATCGTTCGTGTATCAGACTCAATCGTGTGCGTTTTTAACCGTGCGAGATCGTGCGTTTAGAATCGTGTAAATTTCGTTTTGTAAGTTTTTATCGGAATGTTATTTGTAAAATAAGTATTTCCCTTGTTTGTTTTTCCTAATTTATTAATTAAAATCCAAATAAAATGAAAAAGCGCAATTTACATAAGAGAATGCAGAACGAACTAATTATCGCCTGTAAACAAGCAATATAGTAAGTCGTACAATATTAAGTTCTCGTCAAATAGCGCGATCAATATTGTGATAAACCGTACTTAGATCTTTAACGCCTTTTTGAAAAATCTGATTTTAATTATTATTTACTTCTTATTGTGGTCAAGATAATCTTGAAATCAATTCATTGAAAATAAACATATTTTTTTTTTTACAAAGAAATAAACATTTCTCAATGCTTAGATAACTAGTTAGTCGACAAATATACATGGACACGGCATGATTTTCGGGAGTTTTGATTATCTGTGTTTATCTCTTGAGCCTATTTGTAATTAATCAATTTTAAATTTCTGCAAATAAAAATGTTGAATAATTGGCAAGTTTATCATACATTGAATCATTGGAAACATAAGGATAAAATTTGTAATTATAATTCAAGTCATTCCATGCTGCCATTTTTGTTCAATCATATCGCCCTTCCTGCATATCATGATATTCAACTCAATCAAATTATACGACCCACATACATGTACATCGTCTAATACAACGAACAAAATCCGTTTTTTTTTTATCGGAGAATTACCTTAGAAAATAATTATTTTAAATCTAAAATATTAAGTCTTGCATATATTTAGTTACAGAAATATCATTTTCCGGGTTTTTTTTTCTTCAAAGTCTATGAAGTAATATTGATAATTCTTTGAAATCTTAAATAAGTATTAAGCAGTATTTCGTTTTGAAAACATTGATTCCTAAATATTTTGTACTATTTTGAGTGAAGAATCGTGCGTTTGCGTTAACAATCGTGTAAGATCGTGTAACGTGTAGAATCGTGAACGTGAAAGATAGTTCGTGTAACAGGTTTAATCGTGCGTTAATCGTGCGGAATCGTTCGTGTAACGTGATCGTTCGTGTAAGTTGTCAACAATAACGTTCCAGCCACTGTATAAGGCCCGTGGGCCTCTTGTCTAATTCATAATTTTAAAATTTAATTTGATATATTTATCGTATTTTTTTCTGCAACAGACAATAGTGATTTTTTTATTTACTTTAGACTGTTGACCTTCTGTACAGTATGTCCAATGAGAGCAATGTCAAGGTTGTTTGTAGTAAGCTGGTGGAACACCTGAATCGCCCGGGGAGTGATTTCACCAAGTCAGAACTCATCAGAAAAATTGTCACCCTAACAGAGAAATATCCTTTTCTTAAATCCAGTTCTAAGTAAAATTTTAATAATTTTTTTTTCATTTTGAAAATTTTAGACTTCTAAGCAAACAATTGTTTTTCTGTGGCTAGGTTTGCAAGTTGACAAGTCAAAAATACTGATGCCTTGTTAATTTATGTTTATCTTGAAGCATTTAATATTAATTTCTCTTTAATCTTTGGTTGTTTTTGTCCTTAATTCAAACACAAATATAACCAAGATGGTGTCTGGGTCTTTGACGTCACCTTGATGATTCTAAAAGTGGAACGAAACAACTTACCCGAAAACCTAGTGGAGAGGCTGCTGAAAAATCTTGTCAAAAGTAGGTTGAAATGTCAACAAATATAGGGTAAATGGCTTTAAAAAAAGTTAAAACTTCAACATGAACATAAACCCTACCATGTAATTGCAATGAAGTCTACTAAAATCTTTTGATTTTCAAGTTTGCCAACAGAAATATGCTTGCTCTTGGAGAAATTCTATCTTACTTATTCTTTTAATGTCATGAACACACATATTTAAAATATTAGGGAAATATCAAAGTGATATACAGTAACTGTACTAACCATCTTCTTGAATTCTTGTGTAAATTAATATATTTCAGTGTCCTGTTGAGTTGAAGATAGTCGGATATGACTGTTCTTTAACTGTATATTACTTTACCTATATATATTGATTTTTACCCCATTACATGTATGAGCCTTAGCAGGTAGAGGTTGTTTGTTTTTGAAAGTAATAATTAAAAAAAAAATTCTTTCTTCAGTTTTAGACCTACCTGTTCAAACCAGTAAGGTACCGGAGACAATACAGCATGTTGTTAAGAAGTCTGTTCAGGGATTGTTCCAGGAGAACTGCTCCAAGGAACTTGTCTGCATTGCCACCTGGGTAAATTATTAATTATTTTGTCACAGACTCACAATACAGTTGATCTTCAGTACCTCTAACACTGATATCTTGGATTTACATTGACCTGGATATGTCAAATTAATTCGGAAGTCTGAAACACTTATTTTTTTTATCATTTTACATTTGGTATCTCTAATTCTCAGAAATCTTGAATTTTTTTCCGGGGTCCTAGGTATTTGCACCATATATATTTTTTTCAAAACATGAATCTACATGTACATTATTGATTCATAATATTAAAAAAGAGCAATTGAAGGAAATTTTAGTCTTTTAACTTTTTTAAACAAGACAAATTGAAATTTTCAGTAAATTCAGCATAATTGTTTTTGAATATGAAATATCATATTTTTTCTACAGATTCTTGGTGAGTGTTCATCCCTGTTGAAGAATATGCCAGAAGACAAGATTATGTCCCTTCTCCAGAAGCAGTTCCTCAGGTCGTCACTAGGTGTCACCACACGTCTGTGGATTCTGTCATGCCTGACTAATCTCCAGTGTGGGGGGATATTGAAATCTGGAGTGGTGAGAGAGGTTATAGAGAAAATGAGAGGAGTTGTACAGGAATTTACACTACAGCAGGTAGACTTTTAACAATGGATTTAAGGATTTCTTTTAAAAGGACGTCATACTCTCATAGATATCTCAGAAATTCTTGCATCTCATTTTTTTTAATTCTATAAAATAGCCTTTTTTAGCTCTACTGGTCAGAGACCAGAAGAGCTTATGCGATAGTAATGCGTCCGTCGTCCGTCCGTCTGTCTGTCTGTCTGTCTGTCTGTCCGTCTGTCTGTCTGTCTGTAAACAATTTTTCAAAATGCTACTCCTCCTACATTTTTGGTCTGATTTCAATATAACTTGGCACACAAGTAGACTACACTAAGATACATAATTCTGTGTATGGGTTTTTGATTTCGATGAACGGTGTTGCTGTGGTTACTAAAAATAGAAATTTCTGTGAAATTCTTTCAAAATGCTACTCCTCCTACAGTTTTAGTCTGATTTCAATATAACTTGGCACAAAAGCAGACTACACTAAGATACATAATTCTGTGTATCGGTTTTTGATTTCGATGAACGGTGTTGCCGTGGTTACTAAAAATAGAAATTTCTGTGAAATTCTTTCAAAATGCTACTCCTCCTACAGTTTTAGTCTGATTTCAATATAACTTGGCACACAAGTAGACTACACTAAGATACACAATTCTGTGTATCGGTTTTTGATTTCGATGAACGGTGTTGCCGTGGTTACTAAAAATAGAAATTTCTGTGAAATTCTTTCTAAATGCTACTCCTCCTACAGTTTTAGTCTGATTTCAATATAACTTGGCTCAAAAGTAAACTACACTAAGATATATAATTCTGTGTTTTGGTTTTTGATTTCGTTGAACGGTGTTGCCGTGGTTACTAAAAATAGAAATTTCTGTGAAATTCTTTCAAAATGCTACTCCTCCTACAGTTTTAGTCTGATTTCAATATAACTTGGCACACAAGTAGACTACACTAAGATACACAATTCTGTGTATCGGTTTTTGATTTCGATGAACGGTGTTGCCGCGGTTACTAAAAATAGAAATTTCTGTGAAATTCTTTCAAAATGCTACTCCTCCTACAGTTTTAGTCTGATTTCAATATAACTTGGCACACAAGTAGACTACACTAAGATACATAATTCTGTGTATCGGTTTTTGATTTCGATGAACGGTGTTGCCGTGGTTACTAAAAATAGAAATTTCTGTGAAATTCTTTCAAAATGCTACTCCAAATACAATTTTAGTTTGATTATGATATAAATGTGGCATGTAAGTAGACTGCACTAAGAACATAAAGAGACTTAATCAAGGATCATTATTCTATTTATTGCTGTTGAAAAGTTTCAATTTCCAACTGCTTAAGTACTTTTCTCTTCCTTTGCTATAAGTACAAACCAGTAGAGCTTCAGTCTCGACAGAGACTTCTGGTTGGTGTCAAGATTTCTTTCATGGTTTGAGGAAAACTTGGAACAAATTTTATTGACAATATGTCAAAGGGATCGGACTTAATTTTGGCCATACCCATGCATCATAATTTAATTCAAATTAGCTTCACTTTGCGTTCACATGGAGCTAATGCGAAGTAATTTAATGCGCAATAAATTAATTTGAATTTAACTATAAATTTGCATTAAATTCTCATGAACGATGTTAAAATTTAATTCACAGTAACTTACGTTTAATTTGAATTAAACTCTCTGTGTGAACAGGGCATTATTTTGTGTATCTGTTTTTGAGTGAACTCTTATCCATTCCATCAATAAATATATGAGTTGAATCTCTCTTAACAGAAACTTGCTGAATGTCAGAGACTGTGTGAGTCACCATTAGCAATAGATCTTCGTACAGAAGAGTTGGACACTGCAGAGGTACATTGCATTTCTTTTCCTTCAATTCTTGGTAAACTTCTATATGTATCAGAAAAAAAAACTTGAAATAAAATTCTCTGTATCTTTTCAATTGAATTTTGAATAAAAATATTTGTTTGATTTTTTTTTTCAACATTTCGTCAAGAAAATATCTTTCTGAATGTGTATACCTGTGTATGTATATTTCCTCTTGCAGCCTGACTTCACCCTGTCTTTTCTGGATGACTTTGTGACAGATTCCCTGGAGAGTGGATCAAAGCCCTATATGCACAGAAATCTACGGATACCACCACAAGCAAAAGGTGTTTTATAAGGAGACAATGAACAGTATTTGAGCTCAAAAGTTCATTTGATAATTCCTTCAATAGCTAATCATAAATTGACAATATATGTATATGTACATACACAGTATGTATTTCCTTGAAATGCACAGGAATGTTTACACAGCATTAAAAATTAGGCTAATGTATATTACCATTATGATTGTGTAAAGATGTGAACAAAGTACATGTGTTTATTTTTTGATTTGAAAGAAATTAAAATTCCTCTCTTTCATGTAAATTGTAGACAAATGAAAATCTAATAATATTTTATATCACTGAAATTATCATGAAAAAATTCCTATTTCAGACTCATTGTTTGCTGGATTTAATGAATCACAACTTGTCAGTGAATCTGTACACTCAAGTTCATCAGGAAAAATTGCAAGTCTGGGAGTGTCAACCAAGTCAGCAACATCTGACTCAAAGTAAGTCAAGCAAGTCAGCAACATCTGACTCAAAGTTAGTCAACCAAGTCAGCAACATCTGACTCAAAGTTAGTCAACAAAGTCAGGAACAATTGATTCAAAGTTAGTCAATAAAGTCAGAAACATCTGACTCAAAGTAAGTCATCCAAGTCAGCAACATCTGACTCAAATTAAGAAAACCAAGTCAGCAACATCTGACTCATAGTAAGAAAACCAAGTCAGCAACATCTGACTCAAAGTTAGTCAACAAAGTCAGGAATATCTGACTCAAATTAAGAAAACCAAGTCAGCAACATCTGACTCAAAATAAGTCAAGCAAGTCAGCAACATCTGACTCAAAGTTAGTCAACAAAGTCAGGAGAACATCTGACTCAAAGTTAGTCAACCAAGTTCGCAACATCTGACTCAAAGTTAGTCAACCAAGTTAGCAACATCTGACTCAAATTAAGAAAATCAAGTCATCAACATCTGCCTATTAAGTCAACCAAGTCAAGCAAGTCAGCAACATCTGACTCAAAGTAAGACAACCAAGTCAGTAACATCTGACTCAAAGTAAGTAGATGTGTTGCAAAAATGTAGGTGACATACAATCAACAAATGGAGGGAAATTTTTGTACTCAAAAACACATTTGTAAGTCTTTCACCATGTCAAAAAGGTCTTTCTCACCATATATTACCACTGGGTGCCATTTTTAAATATAAATTTACAATACACTTGTATGAGACAAACATTTCTAACTGTATTTTGTTTGAATGGAAAGAAATCTAAAGAATAATATTTAAAGGAAGTATAAAACATAAACTAATCCCTACTCATGACAATGTAATATGACCTTACAGAAATGTTGACCTCAAACTTAAGGGTGTCACCAAAGTTTGGGGAGAAGAAGGGTTTCTGGAGCAGGAAACCAGTCCACAATATATTCCTAATAAAGAGTCTGACAAAAAGCAGAGGGAACTAGCCAAGAAAAGAGAATTAGCTGCAGCTTTATTCAGTGGATTCGACAGTCAGAATAAGGTATGGAATATTCTGCACATAATTAATACAGTTAAAACTGTGTTATCAAACACCTGTGTTATCTGTTTCACTGTGAAATGTGACCTTTATTTTCACTGCAGTAAATTGGTTGTTAGTACAGTGAAAACTGCCTAATTTAACATTTTTACAGTCTGTTTCACTGCAAATTCTGACCATTATTTTCATTCCTTTTTGAGTTGGCTCGCGTAGCGAGCTACTCCCTGTCGACATAGCCGTTTCAGAGCTGTAAATTTTTTCACGCATTCATCAAGGTGATCCATACGCCAAATATAATAGTTCTAGCAAAAAATGCTTTGGTTTGAGTGATTGAATAAACTTAAGAGGTAAAAACTGTATAAAATTTCATACTGTAACATTATTTATGCCTTCATGCTTTTAAAGAAATTTTTGATTAAATACCTGTACGATGTACAATTACTGCGTATGAATATATGTTCAAGCATGTTAGGCGGATCTAATCTTCCCATCTGAAGTTTATTTATAATTGACCTAGAATACTCCCTAACACAAACACCTGCTGCTCTCATTAGCTGCAACTAGTTGTCGTTGAACATCTATTTTTAGAATCCAGATTTGCTGTGGGAAATTGGGAATCTTTAACCTAATTATTCCATAACACTGACCACTTCAGCTAGTGTGCTTAAATTCATTATAGAATCCAGCCAAAATAATACGGAAGCCCATTAGTGCCAACCTGTTTATATAAAGGAAAAGCAATATACACTTTATTTATGAACCGAACATGGATCAGACATAATATTCAATCTCTTAAGATGCAAAATAAACTGAATATATTAAGGTATGGTGCCCAGATGTATGAAAAAGCTCAATTGACTCGAGCGAGTCAACTCGCAGGCCTTTCAGGCCTTTGATTTAACGTATCTCCGTGTTCTCTACATTGAATGATCTGCCACCCTGTCTTTGTGTCTTTCTCTGCATGGCAGAATAGACAGGTTTCACAGGGAGATAAGGTAGAAATATTGTAAATTGATTGTGGTAATTCAAATCTCAAGAACAGTTAGGCCAGAAAAGCAGAATCATGTGAAAGGTTCCTGACTTGGCATAGATTTTATTTTAAATCCTGATGTCACTCCGGATATAGGGTGGAGACACAATGGAAGATAAAAATTTTACATAGGAATGTTCATGAATTTACTTTAAATCTTCTATTCAAGATCAAGAAAGCCTTGATAAGTAAGTTTTATTTGGAAGCATTCTTAATTAATATATATTCGCCTTTGTTCAATTCATGACCATTATGGCCACAATGTGTGAGCTAAGTTTTACAGTGGTTAAATATGTTTTCGATAACAGCTGGGCCATAGCTACTCATGTGAGCTTTGTGGCCCATGGACCTCTCATATCAAAGTGCTGTTACATTGTTTTTTCATGAAATTGTCCATAGGTTAGTGAGAAAGAGACTGAATTACAGGATCCATGGGCAGAGGGAGTTCCCTTAACACTGAATTCTACCTCCACAGACTGGAGAGCTCTCAGTGCTGAAGAATCAGATAAAGGAGATAATTCAAAGGGAGTCTTAATGAATGATGGTGCTACAACATCAACCAACTTATTAGATTTTTCAGAGCCTAACACATTGTCAGAAAATTTTACTTCTAATGAAGGACTGCTTTCTGACAGTGGACATAATATAGATGATGATGAAAAGAAAAGTTTTACCAACAGTCCACCATGCATGGAATCACAATACCAGGAAAAGGACTTAAATTTAGAGAAAACAGAGTTTTATAGCAGAGAACCACCTCCTCTTAGTAATGAAGATTTTTCTGAAGATGGGGCAAGTTATCTGGATAATCAGCCATTTTCTGGTTGTGATGAAGATTTGGATGAAGGAAACCTTATGTTTAGTCAGGAAAATATGGAAAGTTTTAGTCAGTTAAATTTAGATACCTCTCATACCAAAGACGAGGAAAGTGAAAGTAGCTCATTCAATAAAATGAAAGTAAATTCTAACAGTTTACAAAGTGAAAGTCCAGACAATGAAGCTGTTGCAAAACAGCTAAATCTTGAGGAAGACAATTTATATAGTCAGTATAATGCATTGAGTGATTGTGATGATTCAGATAACAGTGATAGTGTTTGCTGAAACAAAAGTATTTTATTTAATTATTAAACAATAGTTAGGTTAGTGATCAAGGCTTTAACAAACTTTCAGGAATTTCCTTTTCAACATGCATACATGATTATACATAAGGTTTAACTATGAGACTTTTTGCATGCGTTTAATATGATGTACAGTATGTTATCTTCCAAGCAAAAACAAAAGTAGTTTATTCATTTCCTAAACAATAGTAAAGTTAGTGATCAAGGGTTAAAAAAAACTCTCAGGAACGTTCTTCTCAGTGTGCATATTACTTAAGGTTTATTCTTGAGACTTGTGCATGTATTTAAAATGAAGTATCTTATCTTCTTAGCTATGTTTTTTGCCCATATAGAAATGTGATATGCCTGATACTGTGATAAAGTGCATGAACAAGATATAGCTTTCTTGTTTTCTTATGTTGATCACCAAGTTCCTCTAGTTGTTGAGTATCATCCACTGGTATTTGCAGAAAGAACCTGCCCTCACCTCCCTAATATCAAATTATGATAAAACTTTTCAACAAAAAAATTCTCTGAATAAACAGTCTTTTACCAAACAAGATGTGTTTGTGAAACACTGATGCTCCCGTATGGCAACATTGCGAAGATTAATATTTTCTTAAATGCAAATTAAAATATGTTGCTACCAAAAGTAAGGTCTTGCACAAGAAATACAATTGTAAAATATCAAAGTACTAGCATCACCTGTTAAAAAATTATGGTCAAGGATAAGTTTTTGAAAGGTAGGTCAAACTCCAGGGTCATGATTAAATGGTCAAAGTTGTTGGTTGCTAAAGAAATATCTTGTCACAAGAATTAAATATGAAAAGCTGTTACCCTTCAAAAGTTATTGTCAAGGTTTGTTTTTAAAAAGTGGGCCAAACTCAAAGTTCAGATTTCTTTGTATCCAATGAAAGGTCTTCTCACAATAATTCTCACAAATCTTCACATATCTAATCCTTGTGAGATTAGATATGTAAAGAATGAAAGCCCTGTCATTACCTTTCAAAAGTTATGACCGAGGTTAAAGTTTTTGAAAAGTACAAAAAGTCAAAATTGTTGGTGTCCAATGAAAGTTCTTATCACAAAGAATACATATGTGTAGTATGGAAATTCTAATATCTACCGCTCAAAAGTTATGGCGAAAAAAGTAAAAGTTAGGAATTTTTGTGTGTAAGTTCGTATATCTCCAAGGTCAAGGTCAAATTTAGTGCTACCCAAAGAAAGGTCTTATAACAAGGAATACACATATTGAATATAAAATTCATAGCTCCAATAAATCAAAAGTTATGGGCAAGGTCGAAGTCTTTGCGGATAGACAGAGACAGATGGAAACGACAAAAAAGTATATCCTTGAATCTCTGATTACGGGGGCATAAAAATAATTTTGTTTTAATAAACCTAAAGTATAATATAACTACGTAAGAATAATTTCTAAAAAGATTTAAGTTATTGACAAACAAGTTTCTGAAAGAAGATCATCAGTCTCGTTTAAAGTCTTCATTTCATGAGTTCTATTGTTGATACAATGACCTTGTCAGCAAATTACAATTTATCTTTGAGTCAAATGCTGACTGACGTCGTTCATACTGCCGTAATTGTTAGGCCATTATTTGCACACTGAATTGCCAACGGATTTTTAAGTTCTTTCCCGATCATGACAAGGAGCTCATGGCGGGTGTGAAAGATTGGCAGGGAATGCTCACTCTTCCATGGCACTTCATTCCACCAGATGTTTTGGAGGCCCGCGTTTGCTTTGCTCAAATTTTGTATTGTTAGATGGACTAGTACTTTTAAAAACCACATTTTACATATAGTCCGTTTCGTAAATTTAATTGTCTGAGAATATGTGATGCAGAAATGCATTTTTTCTTTAAGAAACTTCATGACCTTGTAAAATCTATACAGTCGGTCATTGCGTCGCGATGTGACTGACATATTTCATACCAATTGTAAGGCCTTTGTTTTCGTTCTAAATTTCATTCTACCTGATCAATACATGTATGACTGGTCAATAGGGATGCTTAATCCTCTTAAGCACCCGATCCCATGGCCAGCTCAGGAATCTCCAGGGGTTAGACAGTGTTTCCATAGGAGGAGGTTGAAGTTTTTACAGTCAAAAAAAAAAAAAAAATTCGGAAAACAATTTCCCACACTCAACCAACCAAAAAAAAAAAACCACCTGGTGTTTTTTTTTTTCGTTGAAGGTGGGAAATTTTTTTTCCCGATTTTTTTAAAATGAACAAACTTCAGGCACCTGTGGTGTTTCATATATGCACGCTGTTCGTATTGTTTGAAGTTTTAGATTGATCATTGTTCAGTATTATCAAGTTTTCATAACGTTCTAAAGTGCTGTCAAAATACTAGACTGCAGAAAGACATAAATTACGAGTAAAAAAAGATATTGGTTTCCGATACAATATTAGCGTTTTAATGAATTTTTTTCTCTCTCACAGAATCTAAGGAGAAACAAAATCTAATATTTTGTCGATACACGAGTGAGACCTTTCTATATCTGATACTGAAGTAATTGGGTATAGACTACCTAGTTTTGCCAGTCATGTTTCTATTATATATTATATATGGTCATGTGATAATAGAAAACAGTGACCCGTATTTTTGACAAGTCATTGTGAATGAGTACATTGTTGAGTGTATTGTATATTAAATCTGTTAGCAAATCGGTCACTCATTGGGGAAAAATCTTTATTAAGAACAGAAAGGGAAAGAATAAATTGTCAACAGAAGGAAAATCAATACTTTAAGTCGATCATTCATAATGGATGATTATGCAATTTTAATGAGTCGTTTTTCTAAGAACTTTTGAAATAGCATGAAACAAGAAAACTAATACTAGTATGGGGTATAACTAAGTAGAAAATTGCTTTTCAAGCGGGGGGTATAATAAAACTGATGTAATTGGTGTTGATTTAATAACATTTGTCAGAGTAATTGAGTGTTAATAATACATTTGAAAAAATCAATGTATTTGTAATTGCAAGTAATTGACAAAATTATCAATATATTTCAAGGTTTTTATTACATTTCAAAGTCATTGATCTCAACCCTCCTACCGATATAAGAATGGAAATAACCATTGTTAATTGACAATACGTCGTCGATATATTTAAATGTCGAGTTGAAGGCCACAGCAAATGTTTTCTTCTTTTCACGTACACACAAGTACACATCACGTACACGTTTAAGATTTTGGACAAAGTCTGGTTCATATGAATACAAAAATAGGTCTGCCTATAACGCCTTACGGGGAGCAATAAGTACCCATGGGAATTCCAACGGATAGTTGGAAGACCTGGTCTTTAAAAACCAAATGGGTTCGTCAATCAGAAACTGAAGTTGATCATTTATTTTAAAATCAACTTCAAAGTATTTGTGTGTTACAATCAGAAGTTTTAAACAAATTAATTTTGCAAATGATCAATTAAAAGGTATATTTAAATTTACAAGTTTCATTTTTATTGAAAAAAACAGCTGTCTTTGTAGTAGTTACCCCATATCATACTGTTGGTTATGTGTAGATACCCGATGGGCGTAGTCATAATGACACGAGGGAGCGCAGCTCCCGAGCTGTCATTATGACCACGCCCATCGGGTATCTACACATAATCAACAGTGTGATATGGGGTAAATGTCTTGTACCATAGTTTTCAAAAATCATTCATATGTAAGTCAGCTTAGGAATCGGTCGGACTGGTTCGCGTGATTGAAACATTAAGTGTTTGGTTTCAAATATGCATTTGGATTTTATATGATTTTACGCTCCGTCGTGTCCTTCTGACCACGTCCATCGAATATAGGGTAAGTGATTTGTATACAATATACTTTTCAAATTTTCCTACAAATTTTGGCCTATACTCGGCACTCAAGGTCATTGAACAGTGAGGAATCTTCCTAGCTGTCAACACCTTCTGCGACACGGGACCTCTGTTTATACTTTATAGGTCTCCACGTCCCACAGTGGGATTCAGCTTCTTACTTCGTGACTCTAGGGCAGGTGCTTAAACCACTGGGCCACGCAAGCGACATAAAAATAAAACACCTAGGCCCGCTTAAAAAGTCTGATTTATGTAATTGAAAAAATAACGAGTTTGGTTTCAATGATATATGTTAATTTGATATGATTTTTTTCTCGTAAATTTCGATCGTCAAAATTACATACTAGTAATTTAAATTTATTATGAACTTGGTTTAACTTAAATTTTTGTAAACCTGATACAAACTTTGCCATTCACAGAGGTACGTTGATTGAAATGTTTGTTATGTTTCAATTTAATGAAAATTAGATCTTTGCTCGGCTAGATCAAAAAGGTTATTTATGTACAGTAGTGTACACTTGTTTTTACGTCAAGTATGTACCGTGTTTCCTTTGTTGGTTATGAAAAGAACGATATATTGAAATCTACTAAGCTAACGTCACCCAGGTCATTACACTATTTAATTTTTTTTTTAATCAAGCGATTTCTGAAGTTTTTTTCTTCACTTTTCACTAAAGTTAAAGTATTAATGGCCGTTTACTGTTATTTATTACAAAATGCTGTATACAATTGAAAATTTTTACTCCATTTTACTCTCCTACATTTGGTATGATTGTTTCATTTAAAAACCGTGCATGATCGTTTTATAAATAGTTCTTTTGTCCCGACTCGATGGGCGGAAAAAAGTTGAAAAGTCGCAAATTTAAGCTCTTAATTTTGGTGAATCTGATTTACATCACTTCTCGAATACATTTTTTGAACAATACTCTCAAAGTTTCTCCTTCACTATTGTTAATATTTCAATGAGGAGTAAAATAAAGGAGGTTAAGTAAAACATTTACTGGAACCTATTATGTATCTTTGTAAGGTTTTTTTTTTTTTTTTTTTTTTTTTTTAAACAGGTGGCTCCCATCAGCCACGTACCTCCGATCACTTGACTCTACACTAATTTAGTGTTTCGGCGGTGTGAAATGAGGTATATTTTTATAAATTGATTTATGATGAAGATCATTTTCATCATATTGCTGCAAATCCGCCTCATCAGGAGTTTATTTGCATTATGCATTTATGCATCTACACATATTAAAATAAATTATTTTATTGTTGAGGAGGTGAGAATATCACCTAAGTTTTTATTGCGTTTGTAGGACACAATAGGTAATTCTGAGAAGACTTTTTTACAGTCTTCATCCTTTGTAAGGATGTGCCAATATTTTATCAGTTTTCTTTTTAAATGTCGTATACAGGGGTTGTATTTTGTGACAAAAACAAGAGGAATTTCTTTTTTCTTGATGTCACTTCTACTTTTTAGGGTTTTCTCTCTGCTATAATTAGCGAGTACATTTTGCATGTTAGATTTGATTTCATTTTTATCGTATCCTCTTTTTAAGAGATTAACCT